TAACTTGACTATTTTTTATCCTCAAGTATCCTAAAATAACTCCAAAACTTTGATTGTTTTTTCTTGTTCTAAAACCAAAACAAAAACAAAAATTTGAGATGGGATTAAGGATGTCAGAATCAGCAAAACCTTACTTTGCAATGATCTGTCTTCAGTTCGGATACGCAGGTATGAACCTAGTAACTAAAGCCGTCCTTGACCGCGGTATGAGCCATTACGTTCTTGTTGCATACCGCAACGCTTTTGCCACAGCCGCTATCGCACCCTTCGCTCTTCTCTCCGAAAGGTACATATTTCATCTAAAGAAACCGATTATCGAAACAATTTTTTTTTTGGTAGTAATATTTATGTATTGGGGATTTTTGTAGGAAAGTGAGATCAAAGATGACGTTTCCAATATTCATGCGAATATTTCTTCTTGCTCTTCTCGGGTTAGTCTTCTAATTGGACCGTTGATGAAATCAAGAAGATTTTGTTACAATTATGATAAAGGCTTAAATATAAGGTTAATTTGAACAGGCCTGTGATTGATCAGAACTTATACTACATCGGTCTGAAACTCACATCACCGACGTTTTCCACCGCCGTTAGCAACATCGTGCCTGCACTTACCATTATCCTTGCCACACTTTTCAGGTAACATGCATACAAAAGCAACGATTTTATTTTTTACATTTTAACCAAAAAAATAGAAGGGAAAAACACGTTTTATGATATTTTGGTACGTGGATATGCACCAATTCAAAAGTAGATGTATAGTACAATTAGTGTATGACGATGTCATAAATTATGAATATTGATATGTATTTTTATGTAAATGATTTTCTTTAAAGGATGGAGAAAGTGGAGATGAGAAAAGTAAGATGCCTAGTAAAAGTGATGGGGACTTTAGTGACAGTGGTTGGATCCATATTGATGATATTCTACAAAGGTCCTTTCATTAATTTCTTCCGATCTCACCTCACCCCCGCCTCCTCGCCGCCGACGGCTGACTATCTTAAGGCTGCCGTCTTCCTACTCCTCGCTTCCCTCTCATGGGCTTCGTTCTTTGTTCTTCAGGTATATATCAATTATTGATCAATTCTTTAAATAAATCACTTCTTACATCATGAATTAGATTAACTATCACTATAAAAGTTTAAAGAGTAAATAGAAGAATCCTTTCTTTTTAGGTTTATAAGATTAGTTTTAATTTGGCTCTAGTTTTAGATTTTCCATCAAAATAGGAAAGAGGTTATAGTATACACCTGACCATGTTATATATATGTTATTGGGATCTTGTTTACCATGTTATATGTTATTGGGATCTTGTTTCTAAAAGGTAAAAATTATGATGTAGTAAAATATGATTAGAATATTTTTTTTTAACTTTTTTCCTAGTATAGAAAAAGATAGATCTAACGAATTAGGCTGTTATATTTTGTTAATTAGGCTGCGACTTTGAAGAAATACTCAGCCCATCTCTCGTTATCAACAATGGTGTGTTTCATGGGAACGTTACAGTCTTTAGCCCTAGCCTTCGTAATGGAACACAATCCTTCTGCTTTGAACATCGGTTTTGACATGAACCTTCTTGCTTCTGCCTACGCGGTTCGTCCTTCATTTCATGCCACTTTAGTATATAACAAAAAGATCAGTTTACAAAAATATTGATACTTACATTGTGATTGGTAACGGTTACAGGGAATAATGTCGTCGAGCATAGCTTACTACGTTCAAGGACTTATGATACAGCGAAAAGGACCGGTCTTTGTCACTGCTTTTAACCCTCTTGTCGTCGTCATTGTCTCCATCATGAGCTTCTTCGTTCTCGGTCAAGGAGTCTACCTTGGAGGGTACGTTAACAACAACCGGTTAATTATGATATATACCCGGTTTAGTCTTCTGTCTTGTTAATTAATCAAAACAGAATTTGTATTGATATTTTCAGGGTTATTGGAGTGGTTGTTTTGACGGTGGGAGTGTACGCCGTGTTATGGGGAAAACATGTAGATGATGAAGGAGAAGAAACACGCCATGAAGATAACGTTTTAGAAGCCATTAAGTGTTGTAGTGGCAATAATGGTCTAACGATAATGCCTAAAATCGACGAAGCTGATGAAGAGGATGTTGAAACCGGAAAAGTTACCGCGGAGATGGAGTCGTCAGTTCCGGAAGTGGTGGTGGTGGTTCTTTGTAGTGAAAATGTGGCTAACGTTTTACGATCTAAATATTAGTTAGATGGGTTTTTTTTTGGGTTTGAGGCAAAAATGGGGAGAAGAGTAACTTCTTTTTTTGATACTTGTAAGTTTGAATTCCTTTTCCCCTGCTTCAAAAGTTTTCTATTTTATTTATAGTTTTGATTTCTTATTGTAACTAAGGGATTCGATGTACCGTCGATTTTGATCGTTGACTACCTATATAAACCCGTGTAAATCACCACATTTGGTATTAGTACGCATCTGTTACATACCATTTGGTCCATTTTTACTGCCTTTTAGTGAAGTATACAAACAAACAAACAAACAAAAATTCCTCTGTTTTTTGTGTGTGTTAACAATGTACTCACTGTTCCATATTTATGATGTGCATCGGAAACATTGTGCCAGTTTCTCTACATACAATTATTCAATATTTGTCGTAATTAGATATAGGCACTATTGCACTAACTAGTAAGTAGCTACTAGGCTCTGCAAAATTAACGAAGGCAAACATAACATCACCGGGAAACCAATGTCAATTGCTTTTCTTTTTTCAGTGGCAGGCCTGCTGCTTAAAAATATTATCGGCCCAGAGCCCATTAACTCGAATCGCAACCCATATTGAAGAAAATTACTTGACAAAAACGTTAGTCGGAAAGATGTGGAATCTCTTCGATCTGGTACTACTATAACCCTCAAATAATATAGAAATCTTAATTCATAGATACTGTATATGAGATTCAAAATCGGTTTCACCGAGTTATTATAATATTTCGCTATTATTTCCTGCAAAGGATGTTATAATGTTACAAGAAAATGATGATGAGGGCATTTATATACATGCATTTGTGTGTATAGATTACTATGTATATACGGTGTATTAGTATTTACTTTGTGTGGGACAATGCCCAAAGTTTTTTACTTCAGAGTTATTTTCTTTTAGAATTTAAAGAATCAATTATTGGATTTGTCAAGGTGAAGGTGGACTTCTTTGCACGCAAGGTCTAGTTGCCGTTGCATGTAACATGTTTGTTGAAAAAAAAGTGAATTGGGGAGAAGTTTGGCCAGACATTTTTAATTTAACCCAAAGAAAAAGTAGGGCCTAACACAATATAAACCTCTCTTTGTTAAAAATAACACCTACGTCTTATAATTGAACCAAATATTGAATCATTGAACTCACCTATAATGAATATAATAACAAGAATTCACAAGATTCCTAAAGAAAAAATTCACAAAAACAAATAAAAATTTACGTCTCACCAAACACACTCACCTACCCGTTTGGTCCCACTGACCCCAACATACTACACCGACTCTCCACACCTTTTTTTTTTTGCGTTTTGAAACAAATAGAACTAATAACTATTACCAACTGATTGATTCGTGAATAGTCTATTACCTTCTTCTTTTTGTGACCGTCTGACCGATGATTCGTGACATTCATTGTTCATTTGTTCTCATACGGCCATACCAAAGTGTGAGCAAATCAATATTTTCTAAATCAAGGGATGATCCTGATTTTTACCATTCGATTAATTTTTGAAACAAATATAAGTCCATTGATTTATTCATTCACCAAGTTTTCAAATAAGTCTTAAAGATAACACCAATTCACTGGTCACTTTTTTTAAAAAGGTTAAAAACTTTAATAATCACTAGTTTCTTTAGGTGACCAAAAAAAAAATAACTAGTTTCTTTTTGGAAATTTTATTGGGCAAATATAGACGAAGTTGTAAACTTGTAATGAGTGAGTTCAAATTTATCTATGGCACGCAGCTATGTCTGGTCGGATCACACCAACTCTCTCTATACTTCATGTGATTGCCAATAAAGGTGACGTGTCTCTCTCACCAACCCCAAACTCAACCTTCTTACACTTTCCCCACTCGCTCTCAATACGCTTGTCACCAAAGTCTATGGCCTACGAGGACATGTATAATCACCGAGTTAAACAGAAGGGTTTATTACCGCTGGACCAATAATCAAACGTGTTTTAAAAAAATTAGGAATTGAAAACATGATTTGACATTTTTTAATGATGGGAGCAGACGAAACCAATACTAAGTTTAACGTGGAGTATACTTTTCTATTTTCGAAGAAGACTTATAACTATATACATATATGCTGATCATTATTCTATCTTCATAAAAAAATTTCACTGCGAATAAAAGTTTGTGAACATGTCATCGTTTGAACACTCAAAAATCATAAGCATTTTAGAAGGACAATGAGAATAAGTAGATATATAATATATAGTGGTGTGGGTGGAGAAGAGTCGTCGTACAAATAATTTAAGTAAATATTATTCTGACTATGATGTAACGTGTAAATAATTATCTAAAACAGAATGTGAATGTTCTTTACTTTTTTTGCTTACATTAAAAATGCAATTTTTATAACATTTACATCCGAGTATTTCACCTCAACTTAGTAAATAACCAGTAAAAACCAAAGTAATTATTTTTTTCTCTGAAAATTTTCCTCAGTAGTTATACCAGTCAAAACCTCAAATCTGAATATTGATAATTTGATATCCAAGAAGTTTACTCATTTGAATAAAAGTTAAATCTGAAAATAGATATTTATCTACCTCTGTTTTTTTTTTCTCCACCAACTTTCCCCTACTTAATGGACATTATCCATCTTTTCTTTTTGTCATGAACTTTGCAATTTAATTGCATATTTCTTGTTTTACATAAAAGATGTTTGGTAACAAATATATATATATTTCTGAATTGATTATTTAAAAACAAAAAAAAAGCTAATCGGTTCACCAACCCCCTCCCTAATATAAATCAAAGTCTCCACCACATATATCTAGAATTCTAGAAGTGAATTCGATGTACACTTTTTTTTCTTCCCATTTTATTAATAATCACTGACCCATAAAAATACTACAACCTAAATCCTATGTCGTGGTTTCTAATAGCGGTGGCGTTTGTCGCTGCCGTCGTATCTTACAAGCTAATCCAAGGGCTGAGATTCAAGTTCCCACCAGGGCCACGCCCCAAGCCGATCGTCGGTAACCTCTACGACATAAAGCCGGTCCGGTTCAGATGTTACTACGAGTGGGCTCAAACTTATGGACCAATCATATCGGTCTGGATCGGTTCAATCTTAAACGTCGTCGTATCTAGTGCCGAGCTAGCTAAAGAAGTCTTGAAAGAACACGACCAGAAACTCGCCGACCGGCACCGGAACAGATCAACCGAAGCATTTAGCCGCAACGGTCAGGATCTTATATGGGCCGATTATGGGCCTCATTACGTGAAGGTGAGAAAAGTTTGCACGCTTGAGCTCTTCACACCTAAACGACTTGAGTCTCTCAGACCTATCCGTGAAGATGAAGTCACCGCCATGGTTGAATCCGTCTTCAGAGACTGTAACCTTCCTGGTACGTCTTCCGTTTTTAGAGGTCAATTCTTTTTCGATGAAAGAAGGGAACAAAATCTGCCATTAAAGGAGTTTTAAGTTTATCCATATAAAATCTTTCAAAAGAGGTGAAAGAGAATCTAGAATACGACTTGTAGTAAAATGCTCTGATTAAGGAAAGTTCGATTATACAAAATCGGTAAGTTTTTTTTTTTTTTTAACTCAAAATCGTAATTTATGTTCTTTGGAAAGAACGAAATTTATGCCAGATTTGTCTTTTTATACAAAATAACGCAAGCCACACGTTGCCTTTACTAATTATCGTCAGAAATGATGAAATTTATGTTTATGTCGTCAAATTTGTTTTATTTAACTACAGTATATGAATAATCTTCGACTTTTATTTATAAACTAGATGAATACCCACGCTACGCGTGGGTTGTTGTTATAAAAATTATTTAAAAAATCATGCTGCTTGTTCTTATTATTAATTTATGTTCATTTTGTGTGTTATTATGTAATTAATAAAATTAAATACATCTTATGTAGTTATAATTTTTATAATTAGATTCATTTTTGACTCGAAATATCAATATATGCTTTTCATCTATAAATATGATTATTTATATACCTAATTAATATCCTAATATATGATATATCGTGAATACATACAACAACAATATATGATATTTTGATATAATGGTATGTAATTATGTCACTTGTGTAATTTGATACTTGCCTAACTTGATTATGAACATACAGTTCAGTATTTTATGTACTATCATGATCTAGTACTTCACCCACATCGTGATAGGCTCATGATTTAATATTGGAATGACATAATTTGAACAAGATAACTATAACTAACTACTTATTTGCTTCAAGAGTTTTCCTATGAAAAGAAGAAAAAGAAAGCAAAAAATTGAAGAGTAATTTAACTTAACACTTTTATATCTCTGCCCTTGCATATAGCCATATAAGAGAAGAGTATCGTGTCTTGAATTCTTTGGTATGTCTAACGTTTCAAAAGTTCATTACTTGAAAAGAACTTGCAGGTCAATATTATCAACAAACGTCACATATGAACCACTAAACGTAGTTACGAAAAATGACTCAAAGAATTACTAAACTAATAAGAAATTAGGTAACAAATAGTTAAACTACAAAATAAGTAAATTTTCAGTTATTATCGAGTAATGATCATTGATAAAAAAAAAATTACTAAAATAAAAACTGTAAAATGAAAGTAATGCTTGATACATTAACATGGTTTTGTATATATATTTTTTTTATTTTGAAAAAAATAATTAAGAGTAGAATGATGGAAGATTTAATGTAATGGAGGACTTTTAATTTAAATGATGTAAAATGACACATGTCATCTTTATGTGTGATGATGTGGCACTCATATGGAGAGAGTTGGCCAACTTTTATATATATGATTTTACTATGGAATCGATAAAACAATTTTTTTGAGTAGGTATAACCATACTGTGTGAGTTAATTAAGTAAATGATTTTTTTTAATAATGATTACTTGTTATTTAATACTATTATAGTGGCATGTAATTTAGAGAAAAAACTGTGATACTTAGATGACAAAAAAAAAAAAAAAACTGTGATACTTAAAATAGTATAATTTCAGTGTTATTTTGTCAAAATTAAAAAGCTCATCATTATTTACCTAGTTCAATAAAAGTTTATGTTCATTAGTGCAAGAACCCTAATGTTTCTCTTAACACTGAATTTAATTTTGTATCTTTTCAGAAAACAGAGCAAAAGGTTTACAACTGAGGAAGTACTTAGGAGCGGTTGCGTTCAACAACATAACGCGGCTAGCGTTTGGGAAGCGTTTTATGAACGCGGAAGGTGTTGTGGACGATCAAGGGCTTGAGTTCAAGGCCATAGTATCCAACGGTCTGAAGCTAGGAGCTTCACTGTCGATAGCTGAACACATCCCGTGGCTCAGGTGGATGTTTCCGGCCGATGAGAAGGCATTTGCTGAGCACGGGGCTCGTCGCGACCGCCTCACGAGAGCTATCATGGAGGAGCACACTTTGGCCCGTCAAAAATCTAGCGGAGCGAAACAGCATTTCGTTGATGCGTTGCTTACGTTGAAGGATCAGTATGATCTTAGTGAGGATACCATCATTGGTCTTCTATGGGTGAGTTTTAGTGATTTTATGAAATCAGTTGAGCTAATTTGTGTAGATTTCTTGGTTCTCACGTTCTGTATATGGTGTGTGTGTGCAGGATATGATCACGGCAGGGATGGACACAACAGCGATAACAGCGGAGTGGGCGATGGCGGAAATGATCAAGAATCCAAGAGTGCAACAAAAAGTGCAAGAAGAGTTCGACAGAGTGGTTGGACTTGACCGGATCTTAACCGAGCCAGATTTCTCCCGCTTACCTTACTTGCAATGTGTGGTGAAAGAGTCATTCAGGTTGCACCCTCCGACGCCTCTAATGCTCCCTCACCGATCCAACGCAGATGTCAAGATCGGTGGCTACGACATTCCCAAAGGATCAAACGTTCATGTGAATGTTTGGGCGGTAGCTAGAGACCCTGCAGTGTGGAAAAATCCACTGGAGTTTAGACCAGAGAGATTCTTGGAAGAAGATGTTGACATGAAGGGTCATGATTTTAGGCTGCTTCCGTTTGGAGCTGGAAGACGGGTTTGTCCTGGTGCACAACTTGGTATCAATTTGGTGACTTCGATGATGAGTCATTTGCTTCACCATTTTGTTTGGACACCTCCTCAAGGGACTAAACCGGAAGAGATTGACATGTCTGAAAACCCTGGACTCGTTACTTACATGCGTACCCCTGTTCATGCCGTTGCAACGCCTCGGTTGCCTTCGGATCTGTACAAACGAGTGCCTTTCGATATGTAAATATCAACTCTGATCTACCTTTTGTTGCTGCTGCTGATGCTGATGCTCTTGTTGTTGTTTGTAGACATGTTTCTTGTGGTTTATCATTGAAAAACTTTTGATGAGATTAGTTGTATCAATTCTCTCAAGGATAAGTAAAGAAGCCATCTTCTTTGTCATTGGGTTTACTATTTATGAATAGATGCAATGTTGTATAGAAACATAAGAATAAACAGAAAGCAAACATACAAAGACAGAATGATTACATTAACTTCAGGTTTTGCCTATAGCAATACATTACACAGTACACACAAACAGTGGTCCGGAACCAAGTTATCTCAGACTATTATTATTCTCAGAGTATTTGTAATCATAAATGCATCAGTTGTTTGTGTTTACATTTGAACAAGTGAAATTCAAGAAGAGGATTCCTTAAACTCCTGCAACTGTTTGAAGTTCATCCATGGCTTCACCCACACTTTAGTTTCAAAATTCTTCGTATGATCACCTTCTTTTGCTTCTAGGGTTAAGTGGTACATCGTTCCTGCAACTACCTGTTCTCTTGCTTGTACAATCTTCTTGAACTCAAGAACCTTGTTCTGTATTTACCCGAAAAAAAAAACAAAACTAATCAGACAAAGATTCATTGGTTATATAATCAGATCATAAAAACAGAGGATGCAAAACCTGTTGTTTGTTATGCTCTTTAATGGCAAATCGAGCGAGACTCTCGATCTCTCCACTGTTCTGATTTCCTCGGAGATCATGAACGCCTCCTAGCTTCATCGTCTTCTCTGTGCTTTTCTCTTCTGATCTGCTAATCGCTAATTGAATTGTTCCACAGATAAGAAGGGCAACGATCCAGAACCTTTTTGATTCCATCTTTAATAGAGAGACTTATGCTTCTTACAATTTCAGATTCGTAGGTTTTGGTCATGTCGGTATCTTTTACGTTGCTTGGCGATTAAGGTATGAAAGTGACAAGTCAAGGAACTAATGACACGTGTCTTCACTTGAGCGGCTGTGCGCGTTCTTCTCTGTGAAAAGTCCAAGAGATAAGAAAAACAAAAAAACGGCAGGATGTCTGGGTTTAACATTAATTTGATAGCGTTCTAAACACATAAAAACGGCATGCATTCTATGAGGTTACGGTTGAAACTGCGAAATTGGGGAGTTCGTCATCGTCATCACTCTCGACCGGTTCTCTGTTCGTCGTTTGTTTCTTCCGGTGGAAAAAAATGGTGATGGAAATTGTGAAACCAAACACCTGCATTAGAGGATGTTGCACAAGTGAATCGATTCCTCTTCATCTCCCTTCTTCTTCGTTCACTCTTCTCTCCCCAATCGCTAAAGGTACTGTTTCTTCTCCTAATCGCTAAAGAGCAGCAATCTCCATTCGACTGAATTCGATTATTCTGGAGAAATTTTCAGGATCAGAGAGTGTTGTTTACGAAGCGATTCTCGACGGACGAAGAGTAGCAGCGAAGAAGCCTATCCTGTCTACTTCCGACGACCTCGACAAGTTCCACAGAAATTTGCAGCTCTTATGGTCTCTCTATCTCTTGTTCCATTTTGAATTTCTTACTTGAACCCATTTTCAAAATGTTGATTTTTCTTACTTTGTTTTGGATTGTTGAAGCAATCTCAATCATCCTGGTGTGGCTAAGTTACTAGCAGCACATGCGAAGCCTCCAAGTTACATGTTTTTCTTTGAGTTCTATGAGTCTGGGACTTTAGCTGAGAAGTTACACGTCGAGGAGTGGTCTCCGAGTGTTGATCAAGTGTTAGTGATCACGCTTCATTTGGGTATATGACTCTCCTTGTCTCAAAGGAACGTTCTTTTTGGGCCATTCGTGTCTCAAATTCTGTCTGTTTCGTTTTCTCAGCAAAGGCATTGCAATATCTTCACAACAACGGGATTGTTCATAGGGATGTGAAATCAGCAAATGTTCTTGTAATTCTCTTCTTCCATTATCTAGATTCTCTATCTTGTTATGTGCTTATTTCATAGAGATACTTCTTCTGTTTCTTTATGAAATTTGTTTGTGATGCTTAAGTGAGCTTTTGTTGATGCAGCTTGACGAGAAGCTTTTTCCATATCTGGCTGACTTTGGTTTAGCTGAATACAAGAAGAATTTGCGTGAAGTTAATCTGCAGAACTGGAGATCTTCTGGGAAGCCAACTGGTGGATTCCACAAAAAGAATATGGTTGGAACACTTATTTACATGGCCCCTGAAATACTGAGGAAAGACATGTGTACTGAGAAATCAGATATTTATAGCTTTGGGATTTTGATCAAGTAAGAATTATCTTTGAGTTGAAAATTGTAAAGTTTTTTCTTCGTATTTTCTTATATTCAGTTTTTCTTCAGATATTTATTTGTTTGGAGTATGTTTAGCTTTCTTCCTAAAAGATCACTGTGGTTATGGATTGTTGTTCCATCTTACATTGCAGTGAGCTTTTAACTGGAGTTGTTCCATATACTGATCTTCGTGCAGAAGCTCAGGTTAAAATATCTTTCCTCATTTCGCATTTTGACATGATCATCTCTAGGAGAAGCCTTTAAATACGATATACTGTATTTTTCATATATTCAGGCTCCTGAATTGCATTCCTTAGCTGTTCAAAGATATTGCTATACCTTGGCTAGCCCTTTTTTTTACGATTTCTGTGATAAATATATATATGATTTTATGGACTTGTAGTCAATTACATATAGATGTTTATATAAGTGCATTCCTGTTCTTTTCATTCTTGACACATAGTGTACCCTTTGCATATCTGGATGGCAGGCTCACACTGTTTTAGAGATGAATTACACAGAACAGCAACTTACAGCTGCCATTGTGTCTTCTGGTCTGCGACCTGCTCTTGCTGAAACTGGATTGCACCTTCCAAAGAATTTGCTATCTCTGATACAAAACTGCTGGGAAGCTGATCCTTCTAAACGACCTTCTTCGGACAATGTGGTTTTGGAACTAGAATCAATTTGGGAACAAGTGAGAGGAAAACTGCAAGGTCATCTCCTTGAGAAAACTTATAATTCCCAGAGTGATACAGATGGGGCGGACATCATTAAAAATTCAGGAGAGTACAGGGACACTGTTAATTGGTCTAGTCAAGGGGAGTGTTTATCCAAGAAATCGTCTGTTTCCACTGTCTTTGATGTGAAATTATGGTCTACTTCAATAGATGATCCTTCAAGCTATGTCCCTGTAATTTCTTGTGGGTCTTTTGCAACATGTGGAAGAAGAGAATCCATGGAAGATACACACTTTCTCATGCCTCACATGTGTAATGAGGAAAGCATCCACTTATTTGCCATCTTCGATGGTCACAGAGGTATATCAACTGCTATTTTAACCCAGGAGAGATCAAAAAATACAATTTTTACTCCAAATCCTTTAGTTACCATCAAATAGGATATAAAATAGCATCCTGAATGACATGCAGGTGCAGCAGCTGCTGAATTTTCTGCTCAAGTTTTGCCAGGACTAATTCAAAGCTTATCTTCCACAAGGTTAATGCTCAGCTCAAACTTTCCCTACTCTTCAGCATGGTTTGTTCGAAAAACCCATTGGTATGTCTCATTTTCAGCGCTGGTGAGGCATTATCACAAGCATTTGTTAGGACTGATTTAGCTTTCAGACAAGAACTTGATTCCCATCGTCAATCAAAAAGGGTGAGTCAGAAAGACTGGCATCCTGGTTGTACTGCTATAGCCTCTCTCCTAGTAGAGAATAAGCTTTTCGTTGCAAATGTTGGTGACTCCAGGGCAATTTTATGCCGCGCCGGCCACCCTTTTGCTCTAAGTAAGGTGAGATGAGACTACCTTACTGAAAGTGTGCTAAGTTAGTATTCTATTGTTGCCCTCTTTTCCATCTCCACGCATAACTCAACTTCGGCATTGGTACTCAGGCACATCTTGCAACCTGTATTGATGAAAGAAATCGTGTGATTGGAGAAGGTGGGCGTATTGAATGGTTGGTTGACACATGGAGAGTTGCTCCTGCTGGCCTTCAGGTTTGGTCGTTATGTACTTAATAGACCTCCTTTAAATGATATCAAAGTGACAAGAATTCCTGACATTAGAGGAAAATGATGTTAGTCATTTTTTGAAAATCCTGCTTTGTAACAGGTTACCAGGTCGATAGGAGATGATGACCTGAAGCCAGCTGTAACAGCAGAACCAGAGATTAGTGAGACAATTCTATCAGCTGACGATGAGTTCTTGGTAAATTGTATCTTACTTTCGTGTCATATAAATGAAACTTTGGTTGTTTATTAGACGGTTGAGAATAATAATAGGTTGAATGTGGTAGGTAATGGCAAGCGACGGGCTCTGGGATGTTGTGAACGATGAAGAAGTTATTGGTATAATCAGGGATACTGTAAAAGAACCTTCAATGTGTTCAAAGAGATTAGCAACCGAGGCTGCAGCGCGTGGTAGTGGTGATAACATCACAGTCATTGTAGTCTTCCTGCGGCCAGTGTCTACAGCTGAAAGGATCTACTAGTAGCCAATTCTTGCACAGTACTATTCAACATGCAACTTCTTTACATATAAATTATTTTCTCTGTATTACGAAAAATGAAGCTTATATTATCGTCCCACAGTATTATATTTGGTCTCAACCAGAAAGTACCTAGAACATGTAAATTACAAGGAAACTTAGCTTGAGTGTATATACTCCTGATTACATTAAAATTGATTATTTTTTTTGTATAGAAATATATGGTACTTAATGTTTCAGAATAACATGATACAAAAGGGGATCAGAAAGAAGAAAAATAAGAGAAGTATTGGAGTGGACGGCTTACTCTGCGCGTCTCATAATCCATATGCTTTCTAAGGTATTGATAGTTAGCCTACAGCTTGCACTATGGTCATCTTGGCAGTAATGCACACTTGTACCTATATATAAACACCTGAAAGTTAACCTTATGAGATTTTATCTCTTTGGTTGTCGTTTGCCTGTCTTCTATTTATTGATTTCCTCAAATTTCGCAGGAGCATCCTAATCTTGGCGTTGACCCTTTGCTCAGTGCATCTTGCAAAAGTGTCTGGAAGCTTTGCAGGAACATATCCCATTCAACTGTTGTCATGTCCACGAAAGAAACACCTTTTGATTCATCATGGTTTGCACAAATTGGTGGGCTCTTGATCCTCATGGTGCATCTTTCTTGTTTGCCTCCTCTCTTCTTTTCTTTTGCATTTTTCTCATGATGAGTAATCCGCTGGTTTTGTGATGACAACATCGGAGCAGTTACATTGGTGGGGATGGTGTTTGCACGTGGTCCTCTTGGAACCAAAGGTGGTTTAGATACATGAAATACCTCTGAAATCTCTGCTTCACATGGGGTATCTCCACCGTCAAACTTAAACATTCCACACTGTAACTCCGTGTTCACTTCATTTCCTTCGTGACTATAGTCACTGCCTTCGCCAGTTTTGCCAATGACACTTGCTTTCGCTTTGGTGCAGAGGGTCTCTAACAGACTGAAACTCTCTTCACCCTTGGAGAAATCCCGAGTCATCTTCTCGCCTATCTCTGCGAGACAGAGCCCTGCAGCTGCAGCTTGTTTTAAGAAAACTGTGCAGACGACAAGGACCCGTATGGCAGATTCCGGCAAAGAGTTTAGTTCAGTTCTCAGAAGTTCTGCGTCTTTGAAAGGGTCGAGATTGGATATATACTCCAGTTCAGTGTCAGAGAATGGAACCAAAGCTTGAGGCCAGTTTAGCCATTCAAAGTAAGGATCATCTAGGCATTCAGGGAGGCAGAGACCGTGATCAATAGGCACAAGCTCAGCGGTCCCAAGTCGATTATAAGCCTCTTTTTTGTCACATCTCTTCACTAGCATATTTCCAGCATGTCTGTCAAGATTCAGGAGTCTCACATCAAGTATTCCAATCCTATGAACGGAGGTCACCGTGAAGCTTCCTGGACCCAGTTCTCCTGCATCAAAATCATGACCCACAAATCGCTGCAAGGAAGCAACTTTATAGGGCATGGAGGAGAACGAGAAGGCATCACTGACATGGAATGGGACATGCGAGATACTAACCAATGCTGTTGGTGGAACCCCAGAGAAGCCTTGGTAATCCAAAAGGTAAGCAGCTAATTCTCGGATACCCGTTTCTCCAACAGGAATTGAGTGTTTCATTCCCGGTTGCCCGAGCATCAAATTTCCGGACTTTTTAGGATTATTGAAGGCTAGAGGCTCTTCATCAACCGGTTTAGCCACAGCAATATTATGTCCTTTTCCGGTTTGCAAAAGATAAGCACCTCCCATGCCACTTGGTAAAAGCAAAGGCTGAGCTCCAGAAACCATAGCCATGGTCACCTCAGCCACAAGGGCACGAACCATGGGCACTCTCTGTCCACCAAGAATCTCAATCCGTGGAGCAGTGGTTGCTTTGAGATCTTCCTCCATATTCGCAGACGCAGCTATGGAGAAGCAAGGAGAGGAAACACTTCGATGGATGTTGTCATCTTCAACCGTATGATTAAAGGATTGCGAGAGGAAGTTGAAGTCAAGGTTGGTTAAGGATTGAAGTCTGCATCTTTGAGAGGATCGGTTAAAGTAAGGGAACTGGTCACTGAAAGGATCAATAGCCACGGCCATATCCGAGATCAATGTGGGCTTGCAGGTGATGATTATGGTCGTAGCCAAGCAATTCATGCCAAAACTTTGTTGGCACTCCTACTTATATATACACAACTAAAAATAATTTCGTATTTTTTTTCAAAAACCTACAAATCAACTTGGATCTATATACAGCCACAAGATGGTGTGTCCTTTGCTTCGCTTGAATCCATTGTGCCCTTTAAGTATTCGCTCCTCCAACCATGAATCGCCGCAATTTTCTGCAAAAAAAGAAACAAGAAGATGATTCACATGGAAGGAAGCCTTAAAGAATGAATAAGATTGCTTGGAGAAGAATCAATGGACGAACCCTGAATACGGATGAAAGCATTCAGGGAGAGACGGAGAAAGATTGAAAAACAGAGAGGAGCGTCAGAGACACCGACACTGTCACCGGAAAAAAATCTGTCCTTTTTTTCCTGAGACTCCCCTCTTTCGAAACGATACTTCTTTCTCCTTTCTTTTTTGTTTTTTTTGTTCTTTTTTTTTTCTCTTTCTTCAACCCTTTTCCTCTAAATTTTTTTTTGTTTTGCTATAAATGTCTCTTCTATATTTACGTTTCTGATTTTCCCGCGTTTTTCGGTTATGAAAATCAGAGTTTTGCTATAATTAAAAACAAAGGTTTAAAAACAGAAAACTTAAAAGCTACCTTCTTATCTAAGTTAATACCGAAAATTAAGGATTTTATTTTGGACATGAACAACAAATACAGAGTTTTATGCCTTATGGACAATAATGTTGAGCGCTTGTACTATTTTTGAGTGAATAACTAATAAGCAACATTTGTGGAACCAGACAGCAAATCAGAAGACTTGTCTCTTCATGGGTTTGGCTTAGTCGAGCCATTGGCTATAACTTCTCCTTGGCTTTTGTTGATGTCTTCACCAGCAGGAACAGATCTTCCACTGCTCGAAACGAGGTTCTTGATGGTTGACTTCAGGTCTGTGTCCTTTAGAAGCGAGTCCAACGTCACATGTACACCTATGTGCACCAAAGAAACAGTCCGCATCTCAATTTAAGTCAAACTGTAACCGTTCAGGGTTTGAGTGTTAGTACTACTTACGGTATCTCCAGTAATGTTTAGGGTTTGTTGGATCATTGATCGTCTCCTCTGTTGCAGGACGAGTAGTATACTCTTCTTTCAGAGCCATCATATCCTAAATTGTTCCAGAGGAAAAAAAACAAACAAACAACACATATTGTTATTGAGCCTGATAAAAAGTTCTAATAAATCTGAGAAATCAGACTGTGGTGATGATTACCTGCAGAGGGAAAATAGCCCACATTGATGGAGCTTCGACATGTTGCCTCAGAATGAAATGAGTTATCTCTGGAACACACTGACTTGGAGGGATTTCATCTACACCAATCACTTCCTTGAAGTACTGTTGTCTTCTCTCTTCGTCCTCTTCCCACCAAGCCCGTAGTGTAGAGCAGTCGTGGCATGAAGGAGCACACACCTGAAATATGAAGACGATACCCATTACAAATTTCTCAGAAAATGAATGGAAGGGGAAGCTATAAGTGAGAAAGATAGAATTCTGAGAAAATATATCTAACCGTCATATAGTCATAATTAGCCGGAATCCCAAACTTCACATCGGACTCACTGGGCATGCGCTGGATGCGAAGGCCAACCAACCCCAGTTCTTGCATAACCTGAGTAATTATAAATTTAGCATTTGCTTCTACACAAGTTGTAAAAAGAGGTTGGATGAACCAAGAGCAAGGAAAACAGAGCACACATACAGGATGTACACAAGAAGGAATGAGACCCAGATCCTCCCCACAGGCCAGCATATTAGATGAATTTAACAAAGCAGGCAAGGTTTTCAAAGCATTTTTTCTCCATAGATCCTCTTGGCGTTGGAAATAGTAGTCATAGTATAGTCTCTTCAGAACATTTTTGCTGTATCAGAAAAACTTAAATCAGATTTTCCCATGCTGATGAAAAGTAGAAAAATTACAGCACGATATAAGAGCAAAAGAGGATCTGTGTAAATGTGCATGAGCTATATAAAATCATAGGAACAAGAGCAGACTTCTTGATTTGGGAAGTATACTACCGTGATTAGGAAAGGGTTTTGAATGTACCTGTGATCATCCAGATCCTGGAAGCTTGACGTATCCTCAATATTAAAGCGAGGATAGAATTTTCTTGCATCCTCTGGATCTTTGATCAGAACAACATTCTAGGGATACAAGTTCAACAGAAATAAACAATTGAGACAGTGGACTCGAGAAAGGCATGGAGTGGACAGAGTCACTTTATATAACAAGGAGAAGAAATCTGGAAGCACTTGTGATTCATGAAATTTTACCCGTAAAATGTCAAAGACATCACGACGAACTTTGTCCTCATTTTCTAGCAATAAAGACTTCTCAGCCAATGACTTCAGCTTTGCTGCAATCTTCTTTTCTGTGTTGCAGTCCTCCTTGAACTAGAGTAGAATTAAAGGAAACCAATTAAGAAAGGTTAATACATCCACTGAGAAAAAAAAACACCACAAAGGTTTTAACAGAGAAAAGGTAAGACTTGGTTCTCCAAAGTGTTATTGAATATATAACGTGGTTCTCCAAAAGAATACGATCTCTAAATGAGGAATTTTACTAACCTCATACATGTCCTTCTGAGTTTCATTAAGAAAGTTTGATGCAATAAAAGGCCAAAAATCTCCAAATTTCTCCTGAAGGAACAGAACAATGACATATTATCAACAAAAAGGTAAGGATATTTTTATGAGGTAGTGGTTGTGCCTTGAAAACTCACAAACTTACTAAGCAGTGACGAAAGCAGATCATAATAAATGTGATGGAAAACTAACCTCAAGAAACTTCTTCTGGATATAGGGCTTGCTTAAGCGGTCAAAATCCCATATTCCCTCCTTTTCCAACTCTTCCTGCATCAGAAGCAGTTTTATCATTTCTCCTTAACTTTATATTAGTTCATCGGCAGCCATAAGCTTTTAAGAAAGTAACTCTCAAAGCCAAGTTTTTAGCTTGTGTACCTGACTTAGCGGAATAGATGGACGGAACTTCCCCACTAAACCAGTCATAGCATGAGCTGGAAGCTCCCAGATTCTGAAGAATCCCAATATATGATCAATCCTGTACGCTGTGAAATATTTTCCCATCTGCAAAGCAAGTATGCAATGTGGTCAGCCTTCAGATCTACAAAGGATGTGGTTGGTAAGGACAATAATGCCAACCTGTGTTAGTCGAGCACGCCACCAGGCATAGTTGTCTTTTGACATTTCCTCCCAGTTATAAGTAGGAAATCCCCAGTTCTGACCATTTTTGTCAAAATAGTCTGGAGGTGCTCCAGTTGACGTATTCATGCGAAACAGATTCCTGTAAACCCACGTATCAACACTGTTTCTGTCAACGCCAATAGGTAGGTCTCCTTTCAGTACAACTCCTTTCTTCCTTGCATATTCTGCTGCTGCTGACAACTTTTGAAAACGGAACCAGCACACACTTTTTTAGATGAAACATCCAGTAACCAACTTCACTTACAAGAATGGAATATAACTAGATGAATCGAATCAGAACATACTTACTTGTACATGTAAATGGTACTGAATGTAGTAGTGGAAACATATAGTATTATAGTGCAAGCTGTCCTTGGATATCAATTTTTCAAGCTGTGGCATAAGTAATTTAGAGATGTGAGATATTACTGAAACCATCCAGATGAAATACATCTGGAAAACCTAATTCGATCACTAAACTTGAACAAGATAAAAAGCAAATAATACCTTGTCGTCTTTGTAGTCAGAAAAGGTCCCCCACTGACTATGATCTGAAGTCTCAAAAAAGTCACGGAGAAAGCAGAAAGCTGCGTATGGTTTCAACCAGCCCTTTCCAAGATAACAAAACTCAGTAAGCCAAATGGAACGCTGATGTGGGCCTTTGGAGGCATAAGTTCCATGCAGACAATTATCAAGAGATATCAAGAAACAATATCAGAGTTTGAAGCATACCTCGTTTTCAGAGAAGAATTTCTGGAAGGAGCTTGAGTTCAACGTCTGGTCTCTCTCTAGCTCAAAGATCTTCTTGGCAATTGAAAGCTTAGTTTCCATGGTAGCCTCATAATCAACATCCTACGCGTAACAATCTTGAAAGGATTAGTTAACACTCAAACTCTGATTGTGACGAACTAACGTATGAACCAATTACTTGCAGGCGTTCAAACACATCATGCTAATACAGACACAAACCATTTAAAAATACTATATCCCGTTTATCTGATGCTATCTTTTTCAAGAAAACAAGAGTGTAAAAGTAAGAAAAGCTATGAAACGTCTAACAAGGGACTGATTACCTTCTTGTCCAGTTGCTTCTTCGCCTTCTGAATTTCTTCCTGAAAGTGAACGACAAAAGGTCAGCTAATTTATTTCTTAAGAGTCTCTTCCAGGATACAATAAGTGTACAAACTTACCTTGATATCTTCTGGCAATCGTTCAGAGAGAGCCTGTACTCTAAGATATAATGGATGCAATGCAAACACAGATAACGAGCTGAAAGAGAAGCAAGCCAAAGGAGTAAAGGAACAATAAGGATGAATCAGACAGTTCAATGAGTTGATATAGACATTTTACTAAGTAGAGACTAATATTCACCAGAGCCTCAGGCTCAGTCACTAATCATTAACCAAGTATATGGAACCCAAGGTCTCGAAAACCAAATTGTAGCAAAAAATGAACTATTCATGAATTCAATAGTCAAGAAACAATAAAAACAAAACTTCTGGAATATTTGTTTCCATCTGTTAAGCGAGTGACAGCAACCCATTATTGAAATTGCACAAAACTAACATACATGTCATCGTCTTACCTGTAGGGATACGAGTCCCACCACATCTTATGCACGGATGTGTCATTTACTGGTAAAAGTTGTACTAGATGCAACCCGGAATCTACAGCCCAGTCAACAAGCAACTTCAGATCGAGAAACTCCCCCACACCAACATCATCTTCTGACCTGACAGAGAACATGGGAACTGCGACACCAGCACCCCTCCATGGCATTGCCTACATGTAAAATTAAATAATATTAAGACAACATTGGTCCTGTCACATCAGGAGCTAGTTTATAGCTTGTCTCTGCTACTTACTCGAAACAAGCCATCTGACATGACAATGTATTCCTGTTTTTTACCGATGGAGTGAAGAGACAGCTCCCGATTTCCACCAGATTCAAACCCTATGCTACCTTCCTTCTGAACTTTACAGTATCTATATGTGAATTAACAGTTAAGAACAGCACACAGATAGCATATGAGAAGTGAAGTGTGAAGTAGTTTCAACAAATTAGTCTGGAAGAAAGTAAAGAAAGGATATTTGATAGGAAAGTCTGCTTTAGGGATCAAACAATCTGCTTCCCATATGGAATCATCGACATAGTTGAGTCTAAGTCCATTTTCAACTTTCCATTTCCCCAACTTTTCTGGGGTGCCTAGAACATACACCTGTACATGTCATAACCAAGGGTAAGAAATGATGGCCACCACACCACATCAAACTCAAACATGACAAGAAAGAAAACCAAAGATCATAGAGAAAGGCTTACCGATGTTCCCTCTCCAATGTCTGGACAACAGATTTTGAATTGGACAACAACTGAATCTGTTTACATGGTAAAGTCACAAGGCCACAAAAGTTAGCCAAGAGATCAATCACAAACTAGAGAATCTCAGAGACAATGGTGTGATAGGTTTAGATAAAAAATGATTACCATCTTGATCCGACTTATTCATAAAGACCCCTAGCGGTTTTTCTACTTTTACATCGAAACTGTGGTGGAAGATGACATCTTTAAATGCACTTCTAAATGGAAGAGCTTGATCCCCACTCTAAAATTAAAGGAACAGAACATCAATCACAACACTGCAAACTCAGAATAATCCGCACAAAAAGGGCAAAGAACTCAAACCTGCCAGAGATCATGAAGATGAACAGACTCTCCACCAGTCAATGTCTCAGGCACCACGAGTTTTCGCTTCATCCCAAACTCCGACCTTAGCACATTCTTCGAGTCATCCACCACATAGTAACAATAGTCACAGCTAAACCCAGGTGGAACCGAGACAGAGCCACTCCAGATGAGTTGATCATCCTGCTGGGATGGCTTAAGCAGCAAACCTTTTTTCACATTCCCGGAACCAAGTCCAGGAGCCGAGCCACAGACCAGCAGGCTCTCTCCCCAGTGAGTGAAATATGGTATCCAAAAGCTGAGGCTAACCATTGGCTTACTCGACTTGCTCGTACTCAACGAAAGCGATCCTAGATTCATCATTCTCTAAACAACAACAATTAAAAATCAAAACTTTAGCAAAAACCCAGATCACAATCACATACGGAGAGTAAGTAACTCAAGAACCACAAGATCAAAATCAAGAAATCAGCAACACGCAAGCCAATGGAGTGAATCGAAAATCACGGAAGAGAAAGTAGTGAGGTAAGAAATTGGGAATTGATGATCACCTTTGCTTAAACAAACCGTAAATCAACATACACGAGTCTCGAGAGTGAGTGAAGCTGATATATAATAGTGTACTATAAATGGCAACTAATGATCTCAATTTCGTATATTCATCAAACGCAATCAAACATGGCTTTTTCTGGAAGATATTTTTGTTTTGGTTCAATGGCTCTGCACCGTTAATTTATGGGCACGACAAGTCTCTTCTCTTTCTTTTCTTTTTTTATTAGTAACGAAGAAGATCACGAGATACTGATAGATCGCTCAATAGTGTCCGTCCATACATATTCATTTCTTTATTTATCGATCAACTCAAAAGTCTATCCCAACCACAAATGACATACATACTTGACAAAGCATATAGAAAATGATGAACGTTTTACACAGACGTAGAAAATCTATAGTAACAATTACAGTTCTCCATTATTTATGTTGATAAAAGAGAGAGAGAGAGATAGAGAGGGAAGCACAAGGCAGACACAGAATCATAAGCATTACGTGATGAGACCAAAGATTTTTTTTTAGCTCTCACTTTTAGTAATCAAAAGGCCAGCCACTGTAACCCATATATGATTGTTGCTGTTGCTGTTGATGGTAATTATGGTTCTCATCGGTTGTATCCGAGTTTCTTGTGCCTCCACGGTTTTGACTGGAGCTTGAGCTTGAACCTGACGAACGGAATGGCCAGAAGGAAGAGAAAGGATTCCTTCTTTCATTGCCGTTCTCACGATTGTTACTACTGCTATTACTACTACTACTACTTCTGTAGTTTCTGGTGGTGGTTCTGTTTTGACTGCTTGAAGGTCCTCTAGCTGATGGTAGCTCTTGGCGACAGACCGGGCAAGAGTTGTGCTGAACCAGCCACGGGACAATGCAGTCAGAATGATAGATGTGGTTGCATGGCATCTGTTTTGCTTCTGATCCCAGTTCGAATTCGTCTTTGCACACAGGACAGTTCGAGTCTGATGATCTGAGATGCCTCTGCGCAATCTTGATGGTTGGCAATGCATCTATTGATGATCTCGGTGCGGGTGGTGGGCCTCGGCGAGTAGTGCCAGCTGAAAGCTGCTCGAACAATTCTTCAAGACCTGGACCGAAGAAGTAGTCGCCGGTGTTACCACGTGTAATGCCAATGCCAGGTGATCCGCCATTGAAGAGGGCTTCAACTGCATTGTCTCCAGATAGTCTATAAGGGACCTGGCCACCAAAGATCAATAAAGGGGCCAGACCAGGAAAGTTTTCAGGACCTGAACTGATGGTTCTTCCCCTGATTTCTCTGTCGTGACTCCTTTCGGCTAAGCGATTCCTCATAAACGCAGAGAAAGCATCCATGAGATCAAAAGTCGGATCACGTTCTACAACACCCCTGTGACTGTGAGCTCTAAACATATCAAAGGGGCTGGCTTCAGCCATATCAAGTTCTTCAACAAATCCACCTCCGCAATAAGAGCATACAGGATCTTGGCCGTGAAGCCGGACAGCACGCTGGCATCTGTGACACCAGTGGGTATTTCGACTGCTTGACATCCTGAGCTTCTCACTCTTCTTTCCTTCTGTGGACACAAACCAAGAGCACAACAATGCAAATCCTTTCCTTGAAGCCCTTAGAAGAAGCTTTAGCTTATTTGACAGGTCTCAGTTATAAACCTGCAAAAGTGGGTATAAGTTGGTAATCACTTATCTACATTTAAGTAGGCAAACCAAAGACTCCAGGAAAAATCCCCGCTTACCTCAGTTCAAAGCACATTAGAAGATTCAATTTATAGGTCATACTTCAATATATAGAGAAATTTTTTTTATAAAACATAGGTTCCAACTTTCTTTTTTCTAATACATTAATAGAAAGTTAATGTGGTGTTTTCCCCCAAACACTAGATATTGCTTCTACAAACTCAGAACTCATAATAGTACATAAAGCATATCACTCAATCATGAATTTTCAGGCAATACGAAGTCTAGTTGATAATAAACACACAGAGAGATTGAACACAAAGTTATAAGCTTTGACGGAATTTGCTTATAGACTATATAAGCCAGCACAAACCAACGAAGACCAATAATGATGCAATCAATCAGCTTGTAGCTACAAATTTCTAACTGAAACCAATTTATAGAGTGAGATAGTGAATGAAATGGTAATGAAACAAAATTCGAATGGATAAATCAAACGAATTTCAGATGCTTGCACATAAGTATCAAGTTAAAGACGATAAGCTAAAATCCGATCACGTAAAACGCTTCATAGAGAAGACCAAACTAACCAGAGATGAAATTTTAAAGACGGAACAAGAGAATTTCAATCCAGTGATCCAAACATGAAAACAATAGTAAGGAAAACAAAATCTAAGATGGTTTGGATTAAACGCGGAGCTCAATCAGAAGAATACCTCGTCATCTAGAATTATGGATCGAGAGGAGAAACCCTAGAGCGAGAGGATTTGGGGGAAGAAGACGATGACGAAGAAGAACTGACTCTAGAAGAATCTCTCCGTCTTTACAGTCTTTAGTTAACTCTACGCACTCGCAACATATGCCACGTGTTTTTACTTGTCGACTAATGTAATAAGAGTCTTTTTTAAGTCAACCCTAAGTCTGCTAATTTTTTTATCACCAACCATTTGATGGGCCTTGGGCTTTTTATAACTCTTTTTGGGCAAATATGGGCTTATTATATAACAGATAGGAACAAATCAGATGGCCTGTTTCAAAGGTAGAAACTAGAAAGCTTTGGCCTTTTATCTTGGACAATGATGTACCTTGATAACTTGGGCTTTGAAGATACAATTAGTTTTGAGAGTAATTCAAATGTCTTGATCCAAGCGATAAACAAAGACTAGCCAAGATTTCTGTGAATCGCTAGTGAAATCTTAAGAAGTTGCAGAAGAAGAGTCCGGCCTTCCTTTGGTTTCCAAAGGTGAAAATCAAACCAATGTGCAAATGGATAACAAATATGGCCTTCTATTTTTTAGTGTATCATGCGGTTCTAGAGAATTGTACTCCTAAGTTGTTATATCCAATTGTTGAGATCGATAGACAATGTGTAGTATTTTTATTTAGCAAAAAAAAAAAAAGGGTAAAGGATATTTTTTTTTTTTGGTAAAGGATAGGAGCATTTCCTATTTAAACGGGAATCCAAATTGGGGAACAAGGAAGTAAGAGCCACGTTTTAGAATTGGTACGTAATGGTGAAATGGCTTTATAAGTGGAAAGACAAAAAAACACAGCTCATGTTGTTCCTAGATTGGACTCATTCATATACGTTACTTTCATTTCTGTTATATATATTTTATGTAACACATATGAAACTATATAATAAAACAAAAAGAGGTAATGAGAGAACGGTTAATGTAAAACTGTATCGGACAACGACGTTTTTTAGGTTGGATTAGTAGAAGGAAGTCCTCTTCACGTTCACCACATTGATTGATAGTTTCTCTTTTTGGTGAAAATATCAGAAGAGTTGTGTTTTGACCTTTCAACTGAAACGTTGGCTTTTCAAGACAAAGATTCCACCAACTGTATTATCAATTTATCACGACTCCGTTCTATATATCCAAACTTTTACATATTTCGTAAAATTTGTCATGTGCATTCTTGAAATCTACATGGATATATTACATATTTAAATTTTGTTGGAAATTGATTGTCATCGTGGATATCTATTTAGCCGTCTAAATGAAAATAACCTGAAAAGACCAGGTTGGCTTTTGTTCGTTCCGGTTCCACATAAGACCATGGTACTATAAGTCTAAATTCAGTGGATTTAAATCTAAAGAGTTTGGCGTTTATCATGTTATTTGTTTTGTCAAACTCGTTTATCATATTATTTAGCATTATCTTGATTGCATACTTGACATATCAAATTTGGTTTCATTTTTCATTTCAATTGAAATCGATAGTTGTTATAAGAAATAGTGAGTTTGACAGATTTTTTTGTACATATATGACCGTCTATATATAACTTTATTGATGATCAGTCAACTAAATATATGATTCTGCATGATATGGATTTTGTATATGATGATATCATGCATAGTATTCATCATAACCTAAGATTTGGATCCTATGTACTGCACGAATATGTTTTGTACTTTATACTTTGCAAGCTATCTAGCTACAAAGTTATTGACCAAAAAGGAACACTAGCACTTCAAATTTGAATTACAGTATCAAAATCAAGCAAACAACTAATTTTGAAATGTTAAAAATATAACCGTTCAAGTCAACTAACTCGACCCCTCTTCTTTATCACACACTTGGACAATACATTGATGTTGATTATAAAGATTTAAAAGAAAGTTTGGTAAGTTGCAACTATCCATTTAATCAAACATAAAGGTTCCTTTTTTTCTATCATAAAAACAATTATTTAAAGTCTCTTTTTCTGAACCTACCAAGTTAGATTCCATGGATAAGAAATGTAGGAGTGATAATAGAATCAATACATGCATGTTCTATAAATCCAATTCCTTTATCAATAATTGTGCTACTTTCATTCCAAAATATTATACAATATTTGGTATCTAGCATTTTGTCTATGTTTACCAACCATACTCAAATACATATATGCAAATCAAAAACCAAAAAACAAAAAAAAATCAACATAGTAAATCATTTGATAATATTTAGATAGATATAACTTTAACTATAGATTGATACATATACTTTGTTTAAAGAAAATGGATGGCTTTTCTTTAAACGGCTATCTAAATTGGTGGCTATTAAACTATTATGCCTATAAAAAAATTGATGGGATTAAGGATTTACTATATCATAACCAAAGAAAAAGGACATGATCCCACAAGAGAAAAATCAAATATAATGTTTTGAATAAATGAAAGAGATGTGTTATTAAAGATTGAGATAATTGGTTAGATAAACACGGAAACTACTAATATTCTTTGCTTAAAGCTTTACAATAAAATAAAAAGGAGGGACTAAAACGAAAATGGTCGTTAAAGAATCATAATTACATCAATCAAAACAATTAGCTCCGACGGCGCGTGGATTTCAAACGAAAAGAGAGAGCGCGTCGTCACTTTCCAGCAAACAAGAGGCGGACCAGACTCTGTCGAATTTATAAAACGTTATTTTTCTTCTCTTTAACGATGATGATGGCGTGAAAGAAAGAGAGAGAGATTAAAGAAATGATGATCAGTCAAGCGAGCTGTTTTTGGGAAGAGAGACTAAAGAATCAGAAGACCAAAGGTGTCTCCTTTTTTCTCTCTTTACTTCTGCATTCTTCTATCTTCTAAAGAATAAACTCTTAACATTTGAAGACTAAAGACTCTTCTCTGTTTTCTTCTTCTTCTTCTTCTTTCTCTCTGTTTCTGGGGTTGGCTTAAAAAACTGTAAGAAGTTAGTTTATGTTATCATCAATGTTTTAGAATCGATTCTTCTTGCATTCTCATCAATTTCGTTGTGTGTTTAATGGTGATTTCTGGTTGCATGAATTAGTTAATTCTTGCATCTGTAATCTTATATATGTTTATATTAATTTCCTAGCTTTACCGGTTTTGAAAAAAATCAGGTTTTAGTGTCACAATTTTTTTTTGTTTAAGGGTTCTTGCATCTTTTATAATTTGTTGATTCCTTTTACCAATGAAGCAAAATTAATCTGAAATTAAGTTACCATATTGTTTAAGATTAGTGCAAGTAATTTCTTGAAATGTTTCTTTTAATTATGAAAAGATAAATAAAAAAAAGAATTTAATAGATGTAGTCACGAGAATGCAGAGTTTCAGGTTGATGATTATAAGAAGACATGTTAGTTTAATTGTTCTTTTGTTCTTTTTGTAAGCAGACAAGATCCTGACAATGACTAAAGTATGTCCTAAAACAGAAGAAAAGAGAGTGGTGTGTGAAGCATTGGTTGAACCAATTTCAGCAGATGTGAGCTTTGCTTCTAATCATTTTCCATCATACAAGTTAGGACCTGATGATCAGATTGTTGATGAACCTGACGAAGATGATAAAGGTCCATCTGTCAAAGATGTCGTCGATAAGGAGACCGGAGATTTGTCAGATCAGCACAAGAAGCTTTCAGTTCGTGATCTCGCTTGCAAATTTGACAAGAACTTAGCTGCAGCTTCTAAATTGGTTAACGAGGTTCCACCATGATTCTCTAGTTTTCTTGCTATTATTATGTGTCTGTGTTTTTAGATGAAATGGTCTCATAACCGAATCACCGATCAACATTGTCTTTCTTTTTGCTGGAATATTTAGGCAAAGTTAAATGAGGTGACTTCTTTGGAAGGACATGTTATGCTAAAGAAACTTAGGGATGCTTTAGAAACTATGAGAGGCCGTATGGACGGGAGAAACAGAGAAGCAGTAGAAAAAGCTATCTCCATGGTTAGTTTTTCTTACTTTTTCTTTACTCGTAAATGCGATAGTTTTGTTTGCACTGTCTCGCTACCATAGCAACTATATGGTTTTACGCCTTTACGGTGACTTGTATCAACTGTGAAGGGTGTGAATAAAATTATGCAGTCTTTTGTGTCTTGTAGGTTGAGGCTCTAGCCGTTAAGTTAACTCAAAATGAAGGTGAACTAATTCAAGATAAGTTTGAAGTGAAGAAACTGGCAAGCTTCCTCAAGAAGGTCTTATAAGTTTCCTTTTCATGTTTAATACATTGTAATTTTGCTAGACATTTGTAGATTCAATATATTCTCTTCTTGCTTGGTTACTTCTTTTAACAGTCAAGCTAAGGCTGATTCATTGTGTTCTCAGGCTTCAGATGATGCGAAGAAGTTAGTAAACCAAGAAAAGTCGTTTGCTTGTGCTGAAATAGAGAGTGCACGGGCTCTTGTGATGAAACTTGGAGGGGAATTCCAAGAACAGGAGCTTTGTTTTAAAGCTTCTAGAGATCAGGGACCGGTATGTATCAATTTGAGTTCAATTCTTATTTTCATATGTTATGTTATGACATAGGAGTACGATTCTGAATCAAACTTATGTTCCATTTCACAGAATGTGGAGAAATTAGTTGAGGAGGTTCAGGAGGCTAGACGAATCAGACGGATGCATAAACCAACCGAGGTCCAACCATTTCTGTGCTCTATCTCTTTCACTATGACAATGGAATCCAAAATGTTCACACAACTTCTGATTTTGATGGTTTATAATCTAGGTGATTGGTATGCAACATGAGCTTCGTGATTTAAAGAGTCAAATCCAAGAGAAGTCTGCATATTCCGTTAAGCTTCAAAGAGAGGTATATTTCGTGTCTTGATCGCTTCTTGTTGTTCCTTTATCAACAAACTGTCTTGTCTCTAAAAATCACAAATATCCATAGATAACAATAATCAAGAAAGCCGAGGGGTCCAAGTCATGTCCATATGTTTTGGATGGTGCACAAAGTCTTGGCTCGTGCCTAAGAATCCGTGCCTCGTCAGACAGTGGTTTAGATATTTCCAAATGTTCAATCCAGTGGTACCGTGCAGCATCCGAGTCTAGTCGAAGAGAAGCTATATCTGGTAATTGGCATTCTGTCTTTCCCTGATCATTTGGCAAATCTTATTATGTTCTCAAAGTAACTTAAAGGACATGAGCTTTTAGCTTGAGCAGTTCACATTTTGTCTAATCTCAGGTGCCAACCGGTCGGTATATGCTCCAGAACCATTTGATGTCGGGCGAGTGATACAAGCAGACATTGTTTCAAACGGCCAGAAGTCCATAGTTACAACCGATGGTCCAATTAATACTGGTTGGTGTTACAAGAAATAGTTTGCTAATATTAAATACTTTCTGCAAAAGTCCACATACAATTTACAATGGAGAAATGATTAATAATGGCTAATTGGATGACAATTTCTACAGCTGCTGGCTTGCAGTCACGCGTTGAATCACTACTGCGCAAATCTAACAGTGAATTCACCGTATGTTTACAACTTTCCTTTTCCCCATGGAAGAAATTTTTTGCATAGGACAGTTCTTAGTTCTTGCTCTATTATAACTAGACATATTGAACTTCTTCTCAGGTTGTTATATCACAAATGAATGGACAAGACCATGCATCACGATCCCACGTCTTTACTGTTGGAAGGGCGAGAATAAAGCTGTCCCGAGGATGGATCACAAAGGCTAGAGAAATATATTCAACCTCCATGCAGGTAGTCTAGAGCCTGTGATCTTCACTTAATTCACTCTCTGGCTCTTCCTTTAGCTTTATTTGAAGTTGATTTCTTTCAAGTTTAAAATTAAATGGTTTGGTAACATTTCAGCTTTGTGGAGTGAGAGGCAATGCTAATGTTCCTGCAAAGGCATTGTTCTGGCAACTAAGAAAGGGTCTAACTTTCTTACTAACTTTCGAGTCAGAGCAAGAACGTAATGCAGCCATAGTACTCGCCCGAACATATGCATATGATTGCAATGTGAGTAAAAGTAACCAACCAGAGAAAGACCCATTTTCTTTTTCTGATTCTATCTTCTCTTGTTTTGCATTGCCCTCTTAAAATACAGTTACTCCATATAAAAGTTCTGGTACGTAAGCAACCATTTTGAATCACTTTCAAATCCTGCAGGTCACTCTAGTTGGACCAGATGATTGAGGTAAAGAAAGGAGTAGTTTTGTGATATCGACTGTTGTGTTTTAGTGTTTGTGTGTGGTTGAAAGAAGAAAAGAAGAAGAAGAAGAAGAAGAAACACAGTGTTGCTGCATAGTTTTAGGCAGAAAACACATTTTGTGTTTTTTTTTTTGGCATGATCACTAGTTTGAGGTGGTTGGCATTTTTCTGATTTGATTTTATTGGTTTGTTTGTTTGGTTTAGTTTTGTTTGGTCCATCATTGCTAATTAGATTGTTTTGGAGTGTGAAATTGTAATCAAGATTTGTTTGTATGTAATAACAGAACAATGTTTCAATCAATAATACTACATTCTACTCTTCCTTAATTAATGTAATCAAATGAAAAATGGCTTATTGCATATATCTAACTTTGCACTATCCGACGGTGCAAAATTATCCAAATGTTAAAAGAAACTTGTATATTTTTGGGACATCACAGATATTAGATACTTTAAGTTAAGCTTATTATGACAAATCAGTACTTTAACATATAGAAATATGGAATTAAACGAATCACTTTAACATTATCTACCTTTTATATCTTAGTTGTCCGAATTTTTTGTTCCTCTCTCTCTTTTTTCACACTCTTTCAGTCCATCGTTCCGAGATTTCAATAGAGTTTCAAGCTTTTATCTTCTGGTGAGTTCGAATCCAAATCCATGGGGAAGATCCTCGTAGAAATCTGTTTGATATCAGCTCGAGGGCTCCGTGTCGGAATTGGAATCGGATCGTCTCTACTGAAACACCAATGGTACGCCGTTGGGTGGCTTGATCCAGAAGACAAGTACTGTACCACAATCGATGCTTCAAGATCAGACAATCCTGTCTGGAGAACAAAGTTTGCCACTTTACTCGATGATTCATCGATTCAAGATACGAAGTTGGCTTTGCAAGTCGAAGTTTATAGCAGAGAACCCTTGTTCTTAAGGAAGAGGCTTCATGGCTCTGCTACTGTTTCCTTGAAGGAGTTTCTGACTAAGTATAAGCAACAACAGAGTTCTTCGAAAGCTGTAATTCAAGAAACTGGAAGCTATCAGCTTAGGAAGACGAACTCGAGCAAGCCTCAGGGTTTTGTCGATGTCTCGATACGTATCTCTGCAGAACAAGAGGATTTTGGGGGTTTTACTGGTAATGTCTCTGGATTGTGTCTTTCGTTTATTTGGCATTTTATCAGACCATGACTCTAAAGTTTAAATCTTTGCCCCAAAAAGCTAGCGAGAATCTGTGAATTGAACAACAACAGACGCAAATGTAAATGGGTGTTGTGTCAATTTGCAGAAAGCAACCAACTTTGGTGCTGCTTTTGTTTCCTGTAACTCAATTCTTGAAGAACCTTAAGTTTGGGTTTTCGAAGATCAGATTTCGAGTTCTTAGCGTTTTAAGATGGGTTTGTCTGAAGGAGAGAACTCACCATTCTTCTTTTCTTCTTATGTGCAGGAGATTTTGGAGGAGTCATGCTCTCAAAGAACTCGGATTACAACACTTCAGGACAGGATTACATGGCTGGTTCATCGCAGTATCCATTTGTTCCATTGGACCAGTCAAACCCATTCTCAGTTCCGCCATCAAATAACCACCACTCATCAATGCCTAACCCTCCAATGAACAACACCAACCCTCAAATGCAACAACCTTACTATCCTCCACCAATGCAACAACCTTACTATCCTCCACCAATGCAGCCACCACCACCTATGAACTCAGGGTACATGCCTACATACATCCCGAAATCAGAGAATGTTACGAACATTTCATCGTCATCATCGGGAGGAGTACCAGGAGGAGCGGGAAGAGGATATGCAAGGCCTGGACCAGGGTTTGCTGCAGGATTGGGAGCTGGTGCAGTACTTGGAGCTGGTGCAGCTTTATATGGAGGCGAGTATATGTCAGGAATCGACTTACCTTCAAGCTTACCTCACCCAAGTGTCTCCATTTCCATTGATCCTCCATTTTGATGCAGCAACAGCTCGATTCAATATGGTGCGTTGTGAGATTATCTGAAACATTGTAGATGATTTGTAACTGATATGATAAGAGATCCCAGATTCAAGAAACATATAAAATGGAGGCCTCAGGTTTCTTGGGAATTCGATTGAACCGTTTATTCAATTATGTTATTACTTTTTCTATGGTGTTATTAGGAAATTTACATAATACAGTGTTTAGAAGGAAACTGTTGCGGATGAATCTTGCTATGTAGCTATTTACATAGTCCCAAACAGTAATGCAGGTCCTTTCACTCGACGTAGCAATATGCAAGAATCAAATCTTATGCAGTCTCACCAAATCTATTTACATAGACATGGTTATGTACAGAGAGCTTAGAGGAGTGAGTGAAGCATGCGTCTGACTTATCTCGGGCGGTTGTCTGTCTTCAGAAAGTGGAAATATTCCAGTTGCCCCATCTCTCCTCCGTTCACGGGATCAAAGCTGCATCTGTAAAAACTGAGCCCAAGAAAACACAAGTGAGCACTATGCGAAATCTGAAAGTGATTTTTATAGATGCACAACTAGTGTAATTGCTCTGTTTTAAAATTCCTGGTAGTGTGATGGAATTGTAAAGTGAATGGGCTTATTTGGGATTATACCTTCCATCCATGCCGATAATAGCAACCGTGTTGTGACTTCTTATACATGAAACTGTGCATATGACCATTCCGAGCTGAAATACTTTGGTAGAACACCTGCAACAAGGGTCTACATGTTAGGTAAGAAAGAGGCAATGAATATCTGCTCTGTCCACTCCTCTTCGTACCTGTAAAGAAACAGCATTGAATTGCATTTAGCATGCATTAGTAACGATGCAGTGATAAAAGCAAATCAGCATTTCACATTTACCTCTTGCAAACAAGTTCCATCCATTGTGTTGAAGATTCTAATCAGAGTTCCCTTTGTACTAGCAGTTGCTAGCAACAAACCATCCAATGTCAAAGTCATACACGCAATACTAGAATCATGAGCATTTATGATTTGTACCATGATAAGCCCGAAATGTTCAACTCGAATCTCTCCGCGATGAAGACCAGGGCAAGCTATCACAGAAGTATTAGAATGATGAGAAAGGCAACATAATCCTCTAGGATTAGCTTGAGTTTCAATCTGATGAAGAAGTCTTAGGTCCATAAAATTGTAAACATAAATCTAACAGCACGAATCTCAGACCTAAATGCAAATTCACTGATGCAACGGCTCTGATGATCATCCCAAATTAGTACTTTGTTTGAAGGGTACTGAGAATTAGGTCCACCACCAACAACTCCCGTCTCTACCCATAGGCAACATAGGCCTTTGCCATGGGTCCAAAACCAATTTCAAATTTTTGGCCCAGTTTTTTTGAAAAAATAATTTTAGTAAAGATTTTTTTTTATATTTTTTTTTTGTTTTGCTAAGGGCCCTCTAATTAATTAAGACGGGAACAAGTGCCAATATATTGCTTCGGAAAAGCATCTCTACAATTTTAAAACCACCATTCGTTAGCTCACGCCTGAAAGTTTCCTTGAAAGGTTCACAGTTATATATACGGAAACCATGACTCGTTCCAGCAGCAAAACAACTCGAATCCTGATTCTAATACACAGAAACCAACTCTGCTTCCTCGTTTATAATTGTTTCTGATTCTAAACTAGGATTATCAATAATAGGTTTTCTTAAATTACTCAAATATTACATTAACAATCACATTATTACAAGAGTAAATTTGGTAAAATACCCTCCTTTTGTTTACACTTTTGGAAAATAACCTTTCTTTATTTTTCTTTTAAAAATTATTTTAAAATAAGTGAAACTATTAAAATAACCTTACTTAAATTTAATAATAATTGATCAAATTATCTATATTTTAAATATCAAATCAATTTATTGGTACTATTTAAATATTTAATTTTTACAAAGTTTTTATATAACTAATAACTACAAGAATTTACTATCCTAAATATTTTTTTAAGACAATAATAAATAACAGCAGTTCACGTTGTTAAGTGATGATTTTTGTTAAAGTCATGTGTTATTTTTATGCTGCATATTTTGATGATTCATTATTATTAAAAACACATAAAATAGTTTGCTTTGTGAAAAAATTCAAAGAGATCTTTGAATTGAAGCAAAGTTTGGTGTTATGTTGAGTTGAAAAATATGTTTGGAGTGTTGGAGATTGTTTTACTTTATATAACATGAAAAATATTAAGCGATAGATTTTTTAATATATAAAATTAATAAATCATCTTTAAAATATATATAACTATAACTAATATTATTTCTAAATTTAGTTTTTTTCTCTAAATTTTGAATTTAGTTTTGATTTACTGAAAATATAGTTATAAATTTAAATTAATACAAAATTGCCATTTTACATATAAAAGATTGTAGTTTTCATTAAAAGTAGATAAATGGATATTTTTCAAAATATAACTCAAAAATAGGGTATTTTTCAAAATGACCCACATTACAATTAAGTAACACATTAACAATCAAACTATTACATTTTATAAACTGATTTTGCAGATTGGGCATTTCCTAGCCCATCTACGTAAACAACCAAGATGGAACGCGTAATGGCAAGGGATATCTGCCAACGGTTCTCTATCTGGTTCGAATTCAATCAAACAAATACCGCATTCGGTATTGTACATGAATTGAAAGCTTTTGGGAGAAATCGGATCCAGATCTTCTTCCTCTTGACTGTGATCTGAATCTTGGCTGTGATCTGAATCAGAGTTGATGACAACGTCCATTGAGGCGTTGTCGTCATCCTCATCATCAGCTTCAACAGTATCTTCAACTTCAGAATCGGCTTCAACAGTATCTTCAAAATCGGCTTCAACAGTATCTTCAACCATAGCGTCAAAATCTTACATGCCCTTTCCATGCTACTAAGCCACCTCTGGCCAACCTTCCAATCTGGCCTCTTCCTAACCTCCCACGTTTGTGCTTCAGTATCAAACACCATGATTCTTTTAGACGATGATTTTAACTCCCGGGAACGAATATTGGACCCTCCAGTCACATATATATATTCCCATCTACGAGTTTGGAGACCGAACCAGCGACCGAGATTCTAGTGAGAGGCTCCACCGTGTGAGTTACACCAATGAAAAGTATTATACATGATTGGATAATGACGAAGTTAAGTTTATGGATTGTATTATCTTAAGAATTTACAATTTTTCTCTTTCTATCATTTATTTGTTATTTATTGCTTATATTTTGCTTATGATTTACTTATGTTTTGATTATATTTTGTTTATTATTTTTCACTTGTTTTCTTTACTCCTATTTCAGTTTTCTGTAATAATTACATGAAATTATTAGAGTGATCATAGTTAAAATTACAAATTTAAGTGATAATAATTGGGAAAAATGTCGGAAAATGCGCGAACTTTCAAATTTAGGACAAAAAAAGCATGAACTTTTGAAATGTCATTTAAATCATAAAGTTTCGTTTGACTTTTGATTAAATGGTTAAGTTTTCGTTGACATGACATTTCGGGCATGTCGTTAATTTTCCGTTAACGAGACGATGACAAGGTTAACTTTCCGTTAGAAATCTCCGCTGAATCGAAACGACGTCGTTTTAAAAACAACAAAACGACATCATTTCAAAGGAAAATATAACGAATCAATTGAGTCCATGAAGAATCGAACTGCTTACCTGTTGGAGGCATAAAAGACTATGAACCACTGAGCTACGATAACATTTTAAAATTATGATAAACAGATTTTATATATACTAGAAAAATAATATACAATTAATTAAAAATATATGCAATTAATTAAAAATAACAAAACTAAAAATAAATTAGTAACCAAAAATATAAAAAAATATTAAATCTATCTACCATAAATATATATTTCGAAATTTCTTCTATATTTGAAAAATTATACTTTCCTAAAATATATATAAAAAAAACTGAAACATATGGAATATAAAAGATTAAATATATGAATTTATACAATCCTTCTCATATAAATATAGGATTAATTTATACATGTACATAGAATTTTATTCAATTTAACTTTATAAATAATTTTACTTATAATAAAATACATATATTTTTTAAATACATAGAATTTTATTCAATTTAACTTTTTAAATAATTTTACTTATAATAAAATACATATATAAAATTAAACAACTTTGTTTAGAATATTTAATATTTTATATGTTTATATATAAAATTTAGTGAATTTAATATATATATATATATATATGCTCTGTTAGTTATATTACCAAAATGTTCTCGTAGCTCAATGGTTGAGAGACTTTTGTGTGTCCATTAGGTCAGCAGTTCGATTCCAACGAATAATTCGAAACGACGTCGTTTCGATTCAACGAGATTTCTAACGGACAGTTAACCCGTCAACGTCTCGTTAACGGAAATTTAACGACATGCCAGAAATGGCCAAGTCAATGAAAACTTAACTATTTTATCAAAGGTCAAACTAAACTTTATGATTTAAATGATATTTCCAAAGTTTATGTTTTTTTGTCCCAAATTTAAAAGTTCGCGCATTTTCCGATATTTTTACCGATAATAATTACCAGTACAAGTATTAATACAAATAATTACTATAAAAAGTATAAAGTATGAATACAAATATATCTACAATGCAATCCGTATTACCAAAACTTAGTTCTAGAAATCCGAATAACTTACATTAATGGAAAATTGCGTTCATTATTTTTTTTCTCACCCTCCTTCTAAACATCATTCATCTTCATTAATCTTTTCTACATTTCTACAAGGTAATGTGGACACCTTTACTGGATCAAAACCCATTTGGGTGCTAGCTTTCGTTGTAGCTTTAGTTATAGCTTTAGGTTTTGTTTATGTCATTGATAAAGTTGTGATTAGTCATTTTGTAGTGCTTGATGTTAGTACTAGCGAAATAGAGTTCGGTGTTGTTAATGTGGGTGATGATGATGAGGATGATGAACATAATACAGTGTTTAGAAGCAAACTGTTGCGGGTGAATCTTGCTATGTAGCTATTTACATAGTCCCAATCAGTAATGCAGGTCCTTTCACTCGACGTAGCAATATGCAAGAATCAAATCTTATGCAGTCTCACCAAATCTATTTACATAGACATGGTTATGTACAGAGAGCTTAGAGGAGTGAGTGAAGCATGAGTCTGACTTATCTCGGGCGGTTGTCCGTCTTCAGAAAGTGGAAATATTCCAGTTGCCCCATCTCTCCTCCGTTCACGGGATCAAAGCTGCATCTGTAAAAACTGAGCCAAGAAAACACAAGTGAGCACTATGCGTAATCTGAAAGTTATTTTTATAGATGCACAACTAGTGTAATTGCTCTGTTTTAAGATTCCTGGTAGTGTGATGGAATTGAATGGGCTTATTTGGGATCATACCTTCCATCCATGCCGATAATAGCAACGGTGTTGTTACTGCCAAATGCTGCGAAGAACTGTGTGACTTCTGATACATGAAACTGAGCATATGACCATTCCGAGCTAAAATACTTTGGTAGAACACCTGCAACAAGAGTCTACATGTTAGGTAAGAAAGAGACAATGAATTTTCAAGGTTTCAAAGTAGCACTCCAAACACCATTCTTCCTATTTCTACATTCATGGGAGAGATAATAAACAAGAGAAAGAATCATGTTAACAAAAATTTATAATCTTAGCAATCCTACTACTATGAAGGGAATAAGTCTCTTGGACTTAGAGCTACTACATAGTCAATATTCCCACTCCATTAGTTTTTAGAGAATCAAGTAACTTTTTCTTGACAGTTTCATGAGAAAAGAATAAAAATGATTTGGTACTCTTCCTTTTGTTCCATAAGCAACTTTAAGAAGAAGCAAAGTATCATATTTCATTACAGACGTAGAATTTTTCCTTACCTCTCATAAACGACAATGACGAACCGGGATTGGTACCAGTGGTTGGAGAAACAAGGCCTTGCAGAGAATTAGAATAAGTTTGTTGGGTCAACAGAGCTGCATTTTCAGTGGAATAAGAATCCTCCCCAACTACTCTAACTCTAAGAGAGAAAATGTGAACAGTTCCCTTGTCGCTTGATACAGCCAGCCACTGCACGTTTGGTGAAAGTGCAATGCTATAAATATCTGCTCTGTCCACTCCTCTTCGTACCTGTAAAGAAACAGCATTGAATTGCATTTAGCATATGCATTAGTAACGATGCAGTGATCAAAGCAAATCAGCATTTCATATTCACCTCTTGCAAACGAGTTCCGTCCATAGTGTTGAAGATTCTAATCAGAGTTCCCTTTGTACTAGCAGTTGCGAGCAACAAACCATCCAATGTCAAAGTCATACACGCAATACTAGAATCATGAGCATTTATGATTTGTACCATGCTAAGCCCGAAATGTTCAACACGAATCTCTCCTCGATGAAGACCGGGGCAAGCAAGCACAGAAGTATTAGAATGATGAGAAAGGCAACATAATCCTCTAGGATTAGCTTGAGTTTCAATCTGATGAAGAAGTCTTAAGTCCATAAAATTGTAAACATAAATCTTATGTTCAAGAACAACAACAATCCGATCCCTTCGTAATTTCACAGCACGAATCTCAGACCTAAATGCAAATTCACTGATGCAACGGCTCTGATGATCATCCCAAATTAGTACTTTGCTTGAAGGGTACTGAGAGTTAGGTCCACCACCAACAAGTGCCAATATATTGCTTCGGAAAAGCATCTCTACAATTTTAAAACCGCCATTCTTTAGCTCACGCCTGAAAGTTTCTTTGAAAGGTTCACAGTTATATATACGAAAACCATGACTCGTTCCAGCTGCGAAACAACTTGAATCCTGATTCCAACATACGGAAACCAACTCTGCTTCGTCGTTGTTAATAGATTCTGATTCTGAACCAGAGGTGATGTTACTGCGGGAGTCATGACCACTGTAACCACCTTGTTGCAGGATTCCTTGGTGGTTTGAAACAGTTGAACTCATTTTTTTAACACTGGACCTGACAGATCAAACAATTACAGTAACATAAGAATCGAAGGAAATTGTATATAATCTTTGATTCAAACATTAGCAAGGAGATAAACGATTCCTCACCAATCGGAAACGAATCAACGGGACGAGTAGGACGAGATCTACGGTGAAATATTGAATCTCCAAGGTTCGGATTTGAATGACGAACACGCTCTCTCCAGAGTTGCTGATTTTTCTCTGAATGATTTCTCTATACCGGTAAGTTTTATCTTCGTCCAAATTAAATTCTCCGGTTTAATTTATTTAGTCGGTTAGAAAACAAAACAAAAAAATAAATACAAAATGGGCTAATTTAATATCCAAGTGGGCCGCCAGCTATGGGCTAATTAATATTCACGTGTCTGCGTTTATCTTAACTTGGATAAAAACCTCGTGTCGTTTTTATTTGGTGGAAGATACTGTCGTGCCGTTTATTGGATTAATAATTTGGTTAATATACCAAAAATGGAAAATTCACTTTGGAGACAAAACAATCCATATTTGGAAAAAGGTGATTTTGGCTATGAATTGGAAAAGTGAGAACCCCGATAACACTCGCTTTGTTCAATGCGTACACATAACTAAAGAAAGATTAAAACCACAGTTTCCAAGGGAGGGAGACATGGACCAATTATCATCACTTGATTCTGTTTTGCGTTTTATAATCTCATAATAATACACTATTTATTTTGGATTGTTAACTTCACCATTGTTGCAAAATTTTACTACTAATTACTAAAATAGCAAGTTTTTGACAAACCATAACTTTTTTGTTTTTTCTTGTATTTCATGGTGCAATTTTGGTAACTCGTTTTAACATATTATCATCACTTAGAATTAAATTTCTTATAATCTCACTTTCATTGTAGTTATGTTCCAATTCATATCCCTTTTGTAGTTATGTTAAAGTACTACTACTACCCCATCTTTACTTAAACAACTAGTCGTTATGTTCCAATTCATATCCCTTTTCACTTTCTACTAATTAAATCTCAAAATTGCGAAAAATAGAGAGAAATTGATTCAATTCGTTTTGTAACAAAATAGAAAAGAATACAAGATTCATTCGATTCTTAAACTTGTAAATTATTGAGTTGTTCTTTTTCGTTTCTAGATTTTCTGTATCATTCGGTTTATGGTTCTTTTGTGAACGAGAGTGATAGATAGTGAGATTTGAGAGCCTAAAATTCTCACAACAACTTTACCACCATAAGTTGCAATAGAGTTGTAAGTTTGATTTTTGATTAAATTGTCACACATTATTTAAAACCATAAGTTTGCAGTAATCTATGTAACTATTTTGTAGATCTTTTAATACATATGTAGTATATAATATTTGTACTTTTTGGAGTACCACTCACCAAGAATTTGGGAATATTACATGCACAAAAACTCTCGATGTACATGAAGCTTAAAACATGATGGGTTTTGGGAAATTTCTAGGGAAATTTAAACTATTGTTTTGTTACACGTAAAAAGATAAAACATTTTGTCGGTAACCACCGGCTTGACCTAATATAATTTCTAAACCCTAGTTCATATATATTGTTAATTATTTCATTCTTTCGAACAAATGATGCTGTGATACTGATGCCTTTTCTACTTAATATATTAACTAATTGGATGATCACATGATGATAAATTATCCATATAATCTACTTGCTAAATTTCCATATATATCTGCATTATTGCAGACAAATACATGAACCACACAAATAAATACCTTTGAGACAATATTTAAATAACAATTCGAGATCGTGCACGATGTCTATACATTCTTTTTATATAAATATGGTTGTTTATAATTATATGCAACCTAATGGTTTCACTTTCAACTTTTATAAACAATTTCGTGTGGATATTGTCATCATATTGTTCATATGCATATCCACTTACTTACTTTTTTTGGCATCATCGGTTCTTTAAAACTTAGTTCAGAGACGTACGGTTCAAATATAAAAAATCAAGAATTGTATAGTGTGTATATATATAATTATAAAAGTTGATACCTAACAATTTATAAGCATAAAAAATGATTTCAAGATGTAAATATATCGTTTTTTAACCAAAGGTCGATGTAAAGTTGTAAACCATGCATTCCAATCATCGGTAACATACAAATTACAAGTACAGTACTAAAGTCTTACTTTACAAAATACGAAATAAGGCAAGAACACGACCTCTATATATACTAATTAATTACTAATATCTCTCAACCCATCAAATAAACAGGGAGGGAAAATGGATACATACATGTTCCTACATTGTCCAAACACAAAGTATGAATTAGTATTTAAGAAAGACCATCGTCATGTATGATGTATCCATAGTCATAACCGAAGATTTTCCTTAGAATGTAATATACTGTATATCATTCAAAGAAAGCTTAACTTACTTAATTAATATCCCCCCCCCCCCAAAAAAAAAGCATTACTTTAAAATCTGACTATACCTTTAATGCAACCCTAGCTAGTGAGTTAGTGGCTAGATTCTCCAGCACGTGGACATGACTCAAATCCTAAACCATATGGTTCTGTTCTTTGGATTCATCAGAGATAATATATGGCTCAACGAGTACAATTCAATTCGATTTGAAGTCGAATCTAGATGCAATATATATACTGATATATATATAAACAGATGATGAGAAAAAAATGAAAAAATTGTAGAGAAAGAAGGAGCTCCCTTCAGTCCAAACACAGATAAAGAAGGATCAAAAATATCTCCCGCATCATTCACACAGTCACTGCGGTTTAAAATTGATCGTTTCTCTACCACGAGTGTTTGGATGGATGAGTCGGCAGATATTTCTACCCTCTTCTTTTTCTATCCATGACTGGACTGAAAGAATCTCCTTCTATATCTATCTATTTTAATCTCGATTCATATTTATCTATACTTTTGAAACAATGAAGGGCCACACTTATGAAAAGCAGGTTGTTCTACAGAAGAATACATAGGCATGAGTTAGTTTCAAACACATGCACTTATTGCTTTAAATGGGCCATCGACAACTAGACAAAAATGTGACCAAGACAACTTCCTATGTACTTATATTTGAACATTTAGTTTGAAAGGTTATTGCATGTACTTACTTATAAATGCATCAGCAATGAATTAGAATGTCAACTAATGTAGTAAGTGAATATGAATGAACTTAACTTACAAGGTTTGGATGGTGAGTGTTCTTTATGAAACTTCACAGAAAGAAACAAGCTTTACTGTACAAGTAAGACCACTGATGGGTCTTGTCAAGAAGAGGCTACCAAGAGAGAGACAAAGGACGAACTGTTCATCAAACATTGAAATCATAAAAAACATTTAATAATGCTTTTTTCTTTAAAACTTGAAATTGGTTCTGAGTGATGTAAGCCCTGTGCAGATGAACAGTTACCGTAATAATAACAACATTAATAATAACTAGTTGAGTAAATATATATACCTAATTAAGCAGATATATAAGCAGACAGGTCCAAAACATGTGTGAAAAAGATTCCACCATAGTCATCGCAGCTCGTGGGAAAATAAGAAAATATATAGAAAGACTTAAACAAAGGTAATTTGGTTTTACCTCTTTAAAAAATACAAGCTTTGGACCAAGAAATATTCAGCTCTTTTTCATGAGATCTCAGTTTCTGGAGGGTTTGTGCAAGAGATTGAACTCCAAAATCAGAGAAATTGCATTATATGCCTTAAATTTAGACAAGGGGAAAAACCCTAAAAGTAGAGAAATTAATGAAAAGCATATTATTTTTTATTTTTGTAGACAAAGGAAAGAAAGATAAGATCTGAAGCGAGCCATGAATGGTTATATAACTATCGACCTTAAGACAAGGAGAAAAAAACCCTAAAAGCAGAGAACTGAGAAATCTTATCTATTCATGTGGTTGAGAGATTAGATCTCAAGCAAGTCACAACTAATGGTACTAGATGTGATGATATGAAAAAAGAAAACCCTTACATGGCTCTTGATGATGTTTCACACTCGGATTTAGGAGCTGTCTGAAAACCCTAGCTGGCTCTCCTTTTGAAATCTTCTCAACCCCCAATAGAAACTATAAGTGGAGATCACTGTAACTTATAGAAAAAGGTGAATTAAGTAGGTGGATGTTGCAACTAGCAACTAGCTATTAGCAAGTGGTGGTTCAAAGAAGGGACAAACAAAAAGAGATGACGATGATGATGGTGAATGATTAATGATGATGATGGTGGTGATGTTGGGTCATTGTCTTCATGGGATTCAGGGAAAGCTAACTGTTTCTTCATATCTCACCATATCTTACACAAATGAGAGAGAAAGAGAGGAGAGAGAGAGTAAGAGAGACAGAGAGCGAGATGGTGACTTGTGTAATTTTGTGTTGTGTGTTTCAGGTTTGTTTTTGGGGGATGATTAGAATTGATTTGTGATGGGAGAGAGCCATCAAGAGGTTCATCAGCCAGCTTTTTAAGGTTCTTTAGTTTTCTTTTTGGATCACATTTAATGAGAGGTGGAAGAGCTTGAGAATTTAGATAATGTTTTTAGCTAATTAAGTTTTTTGTTTATACATTTTTATTTATTTCTTATTATTTAAGCATTAACGAGTGGACCGGAGATGACATATATAGTAGTAGCTAGAAATCATATAATTGGAGACTGAGGATTATTAGTGTATAATATAATTGGTCCCGAAAAATAAGTATCGTTGTCTTTATGCATGCAAGAATCTCACAAGCTCGTGAACACAAATCCCATCTAAGCGAAAGATATAATATGAACATCGCAAGAACTAATTACTGAAAATTTCGTGAAGGATTCAAAAGTACATGGAGTCATTTAGTTTGACTTCTAAACTTGTTAAAAAAAATCTTATATCATGTGTAAATGCAAGATGTGTCATCAATAGTTGTTAATTTCTTTTAGATTTGAAGATCCTTTTACTAATGTTCGAATACACACCATATCAATTATTCTTTTTATAGTGAATCCTATCATCAAGCTATTCACAAGTTATGCCATTTAAAAAAACAATGTAAGATTTTTTTTGGCTTCAATATAATAATATAAGATTTGGCCTATGATTTGATACTTTGGTCTATTTCTCTATTTATGCGAGTTTTTTTTTTTTTTTCTGAGCTTGGACCATGCTAAATTGCTAATACAGTATTTCTATATTTTTCCAATTTTATTGAATTGGTAGAAAAAAACTTTAGTCTACCTTTGATAATATGCATCTCAATCACATGTAATCTTCTTTTAACTGTCTTTAATCAATTCAATAATATTCTTTCATCAGATTTTTTTTTTTTAAATGTAAATTAAATTTAGTAAAAAAAAGTATAGAGATAGAATTATAAAATGACAATTTTACCCCTGCCACCCTGTCATCTGCGAACCGACCAGAATAGTGAGTGGGCATGGAGTTTCGAACTGAGACACTTGTGGGTCCTTTGTGTTGTGCTTTGTTCCTTCCTTCAAGAAAGTAAGACGGACCCGATAAATAATTCGGTATCCAACTAAAACCGACCCGAACCGGACCAGTCAACCCGACCCGACCCGATCTTTCTTCATTTCGACTGATCACCATTGATCCCCAATCGCTGTTACGAACTCAGCAAGCTTCGGCGGAAATGGGAAGATGATAACTTTCTCCAATGGATTGATTCGACTCTTTTGACTCATCGATCCCAATTTGAAAACTCGCATTTCCATTGATTCGCTTGATCAGTTTTCGAGTCGAGGTAATTTTGAATCAGGCGCGATACTCCAAGCTAGGATCTTTGGTTCAAGCTTTTGTGCGATCGATCTAGAAGGTTATATAAGATGGTGAAACCATCGGATTTTAAAGCAATTCAAGGGTTTATTCGGCTGCATTACACTCGGGTCAACCCTGTCACCATTGGCCGATCAAACCAATCAGCTTTGTCTTCTCCAGCTATTCCCTCCAATGGTGTTCCTCAGCTTCAGCCTAAGTTTAGCTTCCACAGCTTATCCTCGAAACCCACTTCCACAAACGTGGGATTGTCTCAGATTCTGTCCTCTCCTAAGCTCAATCCTAAGTTGCAGCAAGCTTTGGGTTTGCCTCGTGTGAATGTGAGTTTTGCATCGGCGTTTAGATTGGTCTCCACTAAGAGCTCTGGATTTCGAAAGATTGATGGTAATTTTGCGAGGCAGGTTGTTGATAAGCCTGTTAAAGCTGTTAGTTCTACTTTTGCTAGATACCGTGAGGCTATAGGGTTGCACGTTGATGCATTTTGGAAAAAGAATAGTCTTGTTCTGTTTGGAGCTGGAGGAGTTTTTGTGTGTATTTTCCTGTGGAGGATTATGTTTGGAATTGCTAGTACGTTTGTTGGCCTCTCAGAGGGCATGGCCAAGTATGGGTTTCTAGCACTTTCCTCAGCCATCGTAGCATTTTCTGTAAGTTCCGCTGTTTCTTTGCTTATCGCTCATAATTTGTGCTTAATCTTGATGGTTGCTCGATTTCTTAGTGCAGTTTCATTGATTGAATCACAATTTTTGCCTAACTAAGTGCCTTGTAGTTCGAATAAAATGAAATTTAGGAATTTCTCTGTAGAGTTATTGGTTGATAGTGAATGGGTGTAGACTGGAGCTTGCGATTATATTGGTTTGATTTTACGACGACTAGAGTATAGGTACATTGTGTATAGAATGAAAAAACTGCTTATATGATATGGTTTTGTTGCTGTTACATTCTCCTTGTCCTATATCATATAGAAATCACTCCTTCACAGCTATCTGCATTTTTTTCGAATTATAGGGATTATACCTCCGCTCAAGGTTCACAATTAATCCCGATAAAGTTTATAGAATGACCATGAGGAAGATCAATACTGCAGCTGAAATCCTGGAAGTTATGGGTGCTCCTCTGTCAGGATCAGATTTACGAGCTTATGTGATGTCAGGCGGTGGCATAACATTTAAGAAATTCAAGCCAACAATTAGGAGCAAGCGCTGCTTTCTTCTATTCCCTGTTCAGGGTTCTGAGAGAAAGGGCCTTGTTAGCGTTGAAGTTAAGAAGAAGAAAGGCCAGGTTTCACTTTCTCAACTCCACACTCCTCGTTTATCCAACCTTCTTCTGTGCATGTTCATGTTGTAATCTTTAGGGTTGTGATAACCTTTGAAGAAGTTCAGCAGTTGAGCTCTTAGCTATAGGTCTACTGTATCTAGCCTAGGACTGAATGTAGTAGATTCGAGATGTTGTTAGTTAACGAGGGCTGAGTTTATGAGGATGTCTCAGCATATTGTTTTGGTTGTAAATTTTAAGGGGTTGGCTGGGCATTTGGTTGTGACACGAGAGTCTTTCATCAATCCATCTCTCTATTTTGGTGGATTGGAAAGAAGAATTGCAGGTTCATAGCTTTGTTCTTATTAGATTGCCAATATGTGGTGTAGAAACTGTGATGGTAGCGCCATATGTTTCAGTTAAACGTAAGGCTTGTATATGAACATGTGGATACTGACATTACACGACATTACATTTGTCTGTCAAGTTTCTTAGGTTCTTTCATTTTGTCATACCATCTGATAACCCCTATATGGTGAGTTTTGGTCAACTTATCATGTTCATATGTCTGTTTCTTCAGTATGACATGAAGCTTTTGGCGGTAGATATTCCAATGGCGTCTGGTCCCGACCAACGGCTATTTCTGATTGGCGATGAAGAAGAGTACAGAGTTGGTGGTGGTTTAATATCTGTGTTAAGAGATCCTGTTGTGAAAGCCATGGCAGCAACTAAGGAGTTTGATCATCTTGATAGAATCGAAGAGGAAGAAGACGCTGAAAGAGAACTTGAAGAAGCTGAAAGAAAGCACCGTGAAGAGATCGAGAAGCTCGAAAAAGAGGGCTCATAACTTGTATTTTCTTCCCCAGAAGACTTGACGACGTTTCTTCTTAACTGGATATAAAAACAACACCATGAATCTTTTCAAAACCCAGTTTTTTTTGTTGCTAACTTTCGAGAAATAAATTTCCCTGGCTATGTTTATCAGAGGATGCTATTGTGAATTTGTGATTATTGATTCTTCATACAAGATGTATCTCTTTGTTTCTAACTTTTGTCTTCCAAGTATAACTGGTGTAAGCTTTAAGAAATGCACACCATAGCCAGCCCAAAGGGACAAAGCGTCATATTCTATGTCGTCTTTAACCAGTTTCTGGTCTACAAAATTAGCCATTTATTATGGTTAATCAAACCAATTTCCCCTCGCATGTATGATGAACCCAAGACAAATAAAAATGTTTTGTTACTTAAATTGAACATTCTCTGGATCTTTCTTGTTGATGTTTTTGAATTTTTCACAGAAACTTTTGATCTTTGATCTCGGCTTTATCTCTTGCTCCTTGGCTTTGAGGCTGAAACTAATTATGATGCAAGAGCATGAACAATCTGAAGTTGGCAAGATCTAGAGGTAATCCTTTCTTGATTTTCTTCTTTTATCAACCCAAAAAATAGCTAGGTCCTTTATTTGAGATCCTTATTATTCATTTGTAAATTTCTCCTTATCTGTTTAGCATTGTTAACATTGAGAAAAATGGTTTTTGTTTGTGCTGTTAATTCAGAGAGCTAATGATCCAAGCTAGGATTTGGTCGTGTAGAAAGTTAATGGGGAATCATTGTACAAGAATTCCTTGTTGTAAAAAGGTAAGACCTATACCCTCAAATTGACGAGTTTCATGGAGATCATGTCGAATCTAACTAGCAAATTTTTATTAAAACCGTTCAATGTTCATAAGCAGGTGTGTTCATGTATATGCTGTTGCAGCGGAAGGAACAAGACTCAAGCTTGGAGCCAGAAAGGGTCCTGCTTTATAAAAGGGAAGGTCCATCCGGTAAGTAGAATGGAGAAGTGGGAGGAGAAGATCACTGAAGCTAATAGGCAAGGCAAAATTGTAAGCTCTTCCTCCTATGATTTGCCTTTATTTGTTGTTTTGCATTCTTCCTCTGCAAATAGCTTGACATGATCTGATTCTTTGTAACATGGAACAGCTCGTGGTGAATTTCAAGGCTTCGTGGTGTTTACCGTGTAAGAAAATAGCACCCATATACCAGGAGCTTGCATCCACATACACCTCAATGATATTTGTCACTATAGACGTCGAAGAGCTCGCTGTAAGTAACCAAAAAACTTCTGTTCCTTAGAATGATTTCTTGTGAAGATGAGATCTCAAAACTGAGGGATTTGGGGGTTAAAATATGTTTAAAACAGGAGTTTAGTCATGAATGGAACGTGGACGCAACTCCAACAGTAGTGTTCCTTAAAGATGGGAGGCAAATGGATAAACTTGTAGGTGGAGATGCTGCAGAGCTTCAGAAGAAAACTGCAGCAGTTGCAGATCTCCTTCTCAGACAATCTTAACGGTTTTTCTAGTTTCCATGTCAGAAACAAATAAACAGTTGATAGTAGTTATTTGCAGATCATGTTAGTATCACTGAGATTTTTGTTATTAACTTTGATGCATACATGTAGTGTTAATCTCAATCAATATTAACTTCTGACTCCTTATTAAGACTTATCAAGAATTGCAAGAAGAGAATGAGAAGCAAGTCATAGATGAATAATTGATTTATTGCAAAGCAAAACTCTGCTTTTTCAGCAGCACTGAGTTGGTTACATTCTGTTTAAAAGACATAGCTCGCAACTATAGATTCCCTCTCTTGAGAAATAAGTTGAGGTTTGCGAAAAGAAATATACTGGATGTTCTATGAATCGGAATCTGACCCTGAATCTGTTTCTGCATCACATTGCACCCCAAACGGTCTCAATCTGTTTGTGTTTGCTTCCAACGGGGGCATGCCATCATCATCATCACTCGAATCAATTTCACCGTCATCTTCATGCTGTTCAATGGGTGAGCTTTTATCAGCTGGAATCGGTTTAGTATCTTTGAAGATTTCCGGCCTGCATTCACCATGTCCAAACTAACATGAGCTATGTTGCTCAAAATTATAAGCCATTCATACAGAACAAAAGAAAGAAGCTATACCATTCCGGAGACTTTTGAAGAAGACGGACTTGCTCAAAGAATAGAACTTTACAGACAATAGATGTAACTTTGCTACCAGACTCTTGAGCCTTTTCCTTCCCTGTATGATCAATCACTACAAAGCTTCCTGCAAATCAGTGTAGCAAACAACATAAAACACAATCTCTCAAACTCCTCCAATCCGCACCAAATCATGCAGTATATCTAACCATTCAAGAAAGAACAAAATTCAGATCATATATGTTCCTTTCTTCTGTTTAAACAAGTCTGAGAGAAGAATCAAGTAACAGTGTTTATAAGAAGAAGAAATACCTCGTCTGATCCACATGCTCTCACGAAACTTAGCTGGAAACAAAGCTAATGAGTTCTCTCCTTTTGCATCCATTATCTTCGAAAGAGACAACAAAACAACAACAGCAGTTAAACACAAATTAATTGGAAATTCTCGTTGTCCTAAAACTATAACATGAAAGGGACGTAAAAATTCAAACTTTAATCAGTACATACATACACACTAAGCCAAACACATTCACGCTATGAATTGGCGAGATTGCATGAAACTCAAGAAAAAGGGTTTCTCTTTTACCTCAATTTGATTGGAACCTCTGAGAGAGACGACTTGGGCAATGCTCTGACATTCCTCAAGCGTGAAATCCTGCTCCGACGCCGCTTGTTTCAGATTCCTTCTTCCTCTGTTCATCTCTTCTACTCAAATTCCAAAAGTCCAAAACTTTGACAACAAAAATACAACCAAAAGAGCAAAATCCACAGAAATTGAGATTAGGGTTTTGCAGTTGTGTGCCGTTTTACTGGAATCGTATCAGCTCCAATAAAGAAGAGAAGCTTCGCAAAAATACACAGTAAACTAAAATCGAGTTGTTTTGTTCAACGGGGGTAATTTCGTTATTTATATTTTTCTGAGGGTATTATTGTCATTCACAAGCCACGTCGGTGCAAACGAATTGGCAGATAAACCGGAAATTCGTTTTAATCACGCGGCGGTCTATTAATCTTCTCCGGCGCTTTGAATTCCACTCCTTCACCATCTCCGTCGATTCGGAATTTCTGAATTCATCGAATCCTCTTTCACTTCACAGGTTCGGAATTATGTTTTCTTATATCGTAACCTGAGTTTGTTTTCGTATGAATTATAACACTGGTTCAAGAACTATTTTGAAGTTGCATAAAGTTTTTTGGTTTTAAGCTATGAAATTGCATAAAGGTCATAGCTTGTTTGTGTGTTTTTGGGTTTTGTATCTTGTTTATGAATTCGTAGTAATGAAGTTTCTATTTTTGCTTTTTATAGTGATGGGTAGGAGAAAGCAATCCAAGCCCCAGCGTTCAGGGGGTTTGATCACTCAAACTGGTTCTGAATCCGATATAAAGGATTTACCGGGCGACGAAGCTGAGGGTTCGGGGGCAAAGAATGTTGAAGATATCGATAAGCCGTATTATGTGAACATATGTTTAAGTAGTCGAATTTCGGAGCAGCAGCAGCACTTTGATATAGCTGAAGTTGTTCTAACGAATTTTAGTTTAAGAGAACGTTTAGGAAGTAGTAGTACAGTCATAACACCCATTGAGGTTGATCATGATCTGGATTGCTCGTTACGGTTTCGGCTTTGCAATGTGACCAATTTTGTTGATCGGATTAAGCTTGGTCACTGGCCGGTATTATCTTCCAGTGATATAACTTTGGAATTAGTTGATAATAAGGTGTCTGATGATGAGGCTGGGTCAGTGATTTGGTCTGCAAGTTTTGACGGTCCAGGTGAAGGGGTTTCGGGTCTTGCTCATTTGGCAAGTATAAAGTTCTTGACTTTAAGGCTGATGCCGGGTAATCAGGGCTTGTTGTCTCCTAGAGTTAGAGTTGAGGTGCTTCAGCAGGCTTTTGATGCTTGTGATTCGCTTCTTGAGAATACAAGGCAGATATGGAAAAAGAGTATGATTCATGTCATGTCTTGGTTGAGGCCAGAGGTAATGACATCAGAGGCTAAGTATGGGACAAGATTCAACGTGAAGGGTATTGAGTCATCAGTTGCGTCGGAAGCTGAAACTTTGGACTCTAGTAAGCAGTCTGGGTTTGATGCTGCTGCTTTTTATGAAGCCATAAAGCCATCAAAGTGAGTGAACAACTATTTTTTTTTTTGTGTGCATTAATATCTGAATTTGTCTTTCCAACTTATTAGCATATTGTCGATTCAGGATGAATGCAATGCTTGGAGATGATATAACTGATTTGCTCCCAGAACTTAGGCCGTACCAACGACGGGCAGCTTATTGGATGGTTCAGCGAGAGAGAGGAGATCCAATAACGTTGGGAGACAAGGAAGACAACCAATTCATTTCACCTTTTTCTATCTCTGTGGGATTCCTTGACTCTGCTACAAAAATGTTCTTTAACCCATTCAGGTTAGTAGAAAATAATCTAAGTAGTCCTTTTTGTTTTATTTTGAACTATTAGCTTCTCTCAACGTACAACAAATAGTGTAAGTTGTTCTTAGTAAAGTTCCACCATTTACAGAAGAACTTAATTTGATCTGGTCCATTTGTCATGTTTTGTTTGTTTTTAGTGGGAATATCTCATTGGCACCAGAGTATTTTTCACCTCGAATTCCAGGCGGTATCCTTGCTGGTATGAACAGTTTGCGGCTTCATTTTACCTCCATGTACTATATAGTCAGAAAATTATTTACAAGGATAATTTTGTTTTGAATTGCTTTCACAAAGAATATTTTCCGAAACATATGTTTTAAGTCTTCTTAAATGCTAGATGGTGTATATGGCTTTGTCTATCTCTAATATTTCTCATGCATTTCATTCTTAATGTGGTAAAGTACGAATGCTGCAGATGAAATGGGATTGGGAAAAACGGTTGAACTACTTGCTTGCATCTTTTCTCATCGAAAACCAGCGGAGGATGAAGTTTCTGTGTCTAATGGTTCATCAGTTACTGATGATTTGAACGCTGGCTTGAGAAGATTGAAAAGAGAACGTGTTGAGTGCATATGTGGAGCTGTCAGTGAAAGTCGCAAATACAAAGGAGTTTGGGTACAGTGTGACCTTTGTGATGCTTGGCAGCATGCCGATTGTGTAGGTTATTCGCCTAAAGGGAAAGGTAAGAAGGCTAGTCAACATGTTGATGAAAAAGTATCTCAAAAGAAGAGCAAAAAGGATGCAACGGAAATTATTGACAGAGAAGGTGAATATATTTGCCAAATGTGCTCTGAACTTCTACAAGTCACTGCCTCTCCCATCTCTACGGGTGCCACTCTTATTGTCTGTCCAGCTCCTATATTACCGCAATGGCATTCCGAGATTACACGGTATCAGATTCTTCTCTACCTTTTTCTTCCTTCTATTATGTTTCAACTTGAGCAACACTTAACAAGATGACTTTCACTAGACGTGATTTTGTTTTTATCTCCGCATCATGTAATGTGAGTCCTCTTTCCTTCTTTCATCTGTTCTGTTGTAGCCATACGCGCTTGGGTTCTCTCGTAACATGTATATATGAAGGTGTGAGGAACGCCTCACTCTCTGAAGAACCTGTGATTGACATCACTGAACTCCTCAATGCTGACATTGTTTTAACTACATATGATGTTCTCAAAGAGGACTTGACACATGACTTTGACAGGCATGATGGTGACCGGCACTGTCTGAGATTCCAGAAAAGGTGCGTTCAGTGATATTTAGGATTCTTTTACCTCGCATTTTTCATAATATTGAAGAAAATGAATTATTATAACATTTCTTGGAATTTGCCAATATGGATTAGTTCTATACTCATGTACTCAGCCGAGCCATTTCGAACAACACTAACTTTAATCTGATAGGATGGTTTTGATTATCTCCTGGTTTCATGCAATTGAATAGCTTTTGGAAAGATTGATTAAAGATGATGTATTGTGATAGGTACCCTGTTATTCCTACTCCACTCACCAGAATATTCTGGTGGAGGGTTTGTTTGGATGAGGCTCAGATGGTGGAGAGCAATGCAGCTGCAGCAACAGAGATGGCGTTGAGATTATATACCAAACACCGTTGGTGTATCACCGGAACTCCTATACAACGCAAACTTGATGACTTATTTGGACTATTGAGGTTTCTTAAAGCAAATCCTTTCGATGTTTCAAGATGGTGGATTGAAGTTATAAGAGACCCATATGAGGTCGAGCAGAATAAATAGTTCTTTTTCTTACCTTTTATGGGTTTTTTTATTGTCTAACAACCTTCTTGCTTTGTTCAGAGGCGAGACACAAAGGCCATGGAATTTACGCATAAGTTTTTCAAACAAGTTATGTGGCGTTCTTCAAAAGTCCATGTGGCTGATGAGTTGCAACTTCCACCTCAAGAGGAATGCGTCTCATGGCTCAAATTTTCTGCAATTGAAGAACACTTCTACAGTAGACAGCATGAAACTTGTGTGAGTTATGCTCGTGAAGTTATAGAAACTTTGAAACGTGATATTCTCAAAAGAGGTACCATGGGGTGCAAATAGTGTCTTCTG